TATAAATGATATATATTATTCTGAAAATAAATATTTATATATAATGGTGGTATGTATTGATATGTGTGGATTAAGTATTGATATGTACCTGTGGGATACTAGTATACATAATTAAACTGACATGGATATTAACAAAAAGATTAGAAAATCTGTCAATTCCATTTTTTGAGACGACACCAATCTTTTTTCCTTCTTTTTTCATGCATTGTAACATTATTATGCAATATGATTAATTTTATGAGTTTATTATAAATTGCAAAAATATTCATTTTTCTTTTTGTACTATTTGTAATGAAATTTATTTGCACCAACATCCAGAGAATACAGAATTTACATCGCCTAATCTGGCTTATGTTATTTACCCTGAGGGGCTCTCTTATCAGCAGGGTACTATATCAAAACACCTATACACAGCATGACTTTTGACACTTTAATCTCCTGTAACTGTTTTCTGCTCATGTATGATATTAAATTTAAAAAAAAAGAAAAACTGACAAGGCAAATTTGTCAAATCTATAATAGAAAAAAATAACATTTCCCAGTTCAAAAACTAATAGATGCTGCAAATTTTAATGCAGAATTGCAATAAATGTGAAAAAATATTGATACAAAGTCAGAAGTTTGTAGAATAGTTACCACTGACATTGGTTTTAAACCAGTTTTTTATAATAAGATTAGAAAATTCCACTTCAAAGACAATAAATGACAATAATATCTAACGTGCGTATATGACATTAAGATTATTTTTTACATTTGATTATACAAAAAGTATAGTCATTTATCGATGACTTACATGTATTTTGGGGAAAAAAAGGAAATTTTCAATAAATATTGCATACATTTGCATTTTTGTTATTTACCCTGAGGCCCTCTTATCAGCAGGAGACCAGTGTAATGAAAACAGTCGCTCTCAAAAAAATACCAATACACAGCATGACTCGAGACTAAGTTCCTCTTGTATAAAAACATTCCCTCTATACATTTTTTTAATGTAGAAATCTTGAATAAAGTTATCAATTTTATTTATTTTATGGAAAAATTTTGATTATATATATCTTTAAAAAGTATGCAAGCATTTTATGGTTGAAAAATATAATATCACAGTGGTATAAAATGTTTTAAATTCAATGAATTATATTCGTCTTTCAATCTTGAACATGAGGAATTGCCTCTTAAGTTATATATTATCACGGATTTTATTAATAGATATATAGTAATATAAATCCGTGATATTATAATGCAGAATGGCAAGAATGTGGATAAATGGAATACATATAGAAAATTCCGCTTTAGAGACACATAATATCAGAGACATAGATAACATCTATCTATGTCTTCTGATAATATCTATTATGCATTTTATGCCTTTATGTTTTTTTGTATATTTGAATTATACAAAAATTATTGGTCATTTACTGAGTTCGCCAACGCCTGATGAATCCCAGGCTTATGTCTAACAGTGCATTTTGAGGAAAACCAGGGAATTTCAATGCATTCTTATAAATCTGCAGAAATTGACTGTTCTTTGTTATTTACCCTGCAGGCCCTCTTTATCAGCAGGAGAGTGGGTAATATTGAAAAACAGTGTCCCATCTCAGAAATACCAATACAGCATGACTGTTAAGATTTTCCTCTTCAATAAAAGTATTTCCCTTTATACATTAAATTTTTAATATTGAAATAAATGAAATAAAGATATTCAAATTTATTTATTTTATGGATAATATTGAAATTATTTGCATAAAACATATGCAAGCATTACAAAAGTTGAATACTAAATTTATCACAGTATATTGATTGTTTAAATCAATGTTATGTAATAATCCTTTCAATATTTGAACATTGATTGAATTGTCTCAAGTTATATATTTATAGAAATTAATATTTTAGCTTTATATATAACCTTTCCTTGATTTAGTTTGAGCTTATGAAAAAAAGTTTATGGATGTAACAACTTAAATTTTAATTGGGCCAGAATTATCCCACCATTGATTTAATACCATTTGTACACTATAAAAATTGAAATAATTATGGGCCATTAAAAAGCTTTTAAAAACACTTATTTAATTATCCACTTACGGATGCCATATTTAATTTAACCTTATTAAATTCTATAAATTGGATTTTAAGGGTATATTATTTTTCACATTACAGTTAATACTGGTTATAAAAATATGATTACAATAAATGAAAACAACATTTTCAATTTTAGCTTCACATTGATAATCACCTAAAATGTTTAAAACTGCTGATTTTAAAATTTACTTATTTATATTCATTGAATTAGGCCATAATATATTATTTCCATTTTTTTTTCTTCATACAGCAGCGTAACAATTGGATGCCCTCCCCCCCACTTGATATACATGCAATTATTCCATTTAGGTGTCACCTTCCCTGGCCAGCACTGGTCAATATGGGCTTAAGTGCACTAGGAAGTGCACTTCTAGTGACTTCTAGTTCTCAGCTCTAGTGCACTAGAAGTGCACAAAGGTGGGAAGCTTTAGTGTGAACTCAACTGTATATGGTAATATGTAACGGTTCTTGTTCATTTTACATGATTTAAAAAGGTAATAAAAAGAGTTTTATAATCATTACCAATATGTCTGTCAAATATAGCCTTCTTAGATAGTCACGAAATTCCAGGAAATAGCTTTTCTCTTTCAAAAAATTTCTCGGGAGCAAGGCCGCCCCGGACCCCCTCGCTAGGAGTTACATATCAAAAATAGCTCAGTTACGCCCCTAGTTGGTCTGAAACATATGAAACATGCGTCTACAAACTGTTATAATTATATTATAAATTCAAATTAAACGGTATTCAATATTTTATAAGTCACTTTCGTATTTGTTTTTTTAAATGTGAGCGGAAAGAGAAGATCTTCTGTACGTAGTGTGTATAGAATCATTATGCAAATTCACGAATTCGAAAACCTAGCTAAAACGCCGTTTTCCGGGTACTTTCTGTACATAGCTCTGGGGAATTTACCCAATGGAGTGTAATAGCGAACTCGATTTTTCGGTCGTTTTTTAAAATCAAATTGAAATAAAGTAATTATTTCTTTATAAGAAAATAATTAGATATCATTGTATGAATAATTCCATACAAAAAATAAAGTAAATACACAAGTTAACGCAGAAAATAACCTTATTTATTAGCAATCCGGTCAACTCGTCCCCTGGTCAACTCGTCCTCTGGTCAACTCGTCACCTTTTTGGTCAACTCGTCCCCTACTTTTGGTCAACTCGTCCTCAAAGAGTCAACTCGTCCCTAATATGGTCAACTCGTCCCCTACTTTCGATTTTCTTTTTCGTCACTATTATGTTGTAAACCAATGTCTTTAAATAGTTCTTTTATGTAAAATTAATAATGAATTTGATTGATATCGAAATATTAATAAAATAACGTCTTTTTTACGAACAATTTTAATGATCTTTTATCTAAGCGCACGTGCATAGCTTTGATGTAAAACTACAAAGAAAGGTAAGTTTGCAAACATTCAATTAATGTTTAATCAATCGGATTTTCAATGTTAATTAAAACTAAAAATTAGGTCCAACTCTTTGATTTTTAGATTGTATACACGGTGGCAGTCATACTTCTCATACATAAAAAAATAAGTCTTAGACAAAATTGTAGCGAATTTGAGAAATGCCTTCATGGATTCATACATCACCGCATTAAAGAGATAAATATATCTATAATAGTTGACCAGTGCCTATTCTTATTGGTATTGTTATATACTTCTATTATTTTATAGGATGGCTTAGAAGACTGAATGGGAGGGCCGGGGAAACGCCTCCATTCTACCTTTTTGGTTAGACTTTTGTACGATGAGGCCCAGGCAGCGGTAAGGAACTCTGAATTGGTTAGTGAAGGGAGACTTCGCCGCTACCAACGGAAAAAATACACCTTTCTCCAGGGACAGACGCACCAGCTGTGTGACAGGCACAGGAATGGGGAGTTGTCATCAACGGGACTTCTGAAAGAATTCGGGAACTTATTATAAACCCCAAGAGTCGTAAGATGTCAACAACAAAAAAAAGGACAATGAAATATGTGCATGCAAAAAAATGAAAAAGTGAAAGTGAATATATATGACATAATATTGACAAAAAAAGACATAAGTACTATATGATATTTTTTCATTGCATATGAAACATATTTTTATACATTTAATGTTGTTTGCTATTGATAGTCTTTGTGTTGTTTTTTTTCTGTATGTATTTTAATCAGGAATTATGCATTATATATACTTATTATTAGAAAAAAAACTCCAAATATTCGCATACAAAAAGCGTCAAAATATGTCCAATTCAGTCATTTTATCATATATTTTAACAGTCTATAATAATTTATGAAATATATGATAAACAAATAATAATAAAATATAGGGGACGAGTTGGGCACGAGTTGACCAGGGGACGAGTTGTCCAAGGGACGAGTTGACCAAAAAGGTGACGAGTTGACCAGAGGACGAGTTGACCAGGGGACGAGTTGACTCTGAATCATTTATTATGGAAGATTCCACTACGTCTGTTTGAATTTTATTGATTTTCATTATAAACAATTTATTTTTTTGAATAATTTGGAATAGATATTAAAGGAATATTGATAATTTTCAAAAACATCAATTTTTTTCACCTTAAACGGTTAAATACTGATAGAAAAATCGAAATATCACGTAACTGTGTTATGTACTTCATTTGATGTAATTCCCCAGAGCTAAAACGGTAACGTACCGGAAAACGGTGTTTAGCTAGGTTTTCGAAAAGGTCAATAAATGGCGTTAAGGACAATTTTGCGGGAGGAGATATTAATTTCTTTATATATAAGCCTATGTTTTTATATATTTCATGGGAAAATATTTTTAGTTGGTAAAAAAAAATAGTAAATAAAAAAAATCCATCCTAGCATGCGCCGTCCACGGAAGGAAAACATTTGATGGTAGTCAACCTTGATATTGATTTCCGGTACAACAACAACAAAGTTGTAATAATAATTAAATTTAGAATTTTTCAGGAAGAAACGCTTTTAAGTAATCTAAACTTTTTCAAGCAGATGCCAGGTGATATAATTCAGCTGAATGTTGGCGGTAAGAGGTAAGTTTCGAGGTAATAAGTGCCACTGAAGGAGTAACGGTAGACCATCCAAGTGAAAAGTGTACGGATAAATTTATTTTCGGATACTTATAAGTGCATTTATTAGGTAGTCAGACTTTTCTCTCCCTCTCCAGTTCTTCCCTCGATGTTTCCTCCCTGACGGTTCTCTCCCTATTTTGGGGGAGAACCGTCTGCATATTTGCAAATAACCAGACAGTTCCTCCCATATTTTATTTTATACTAATACATTATTATTGAAGTATTTAGATGTTAAATAAATGGGTAAGTTTATTATCAATTAATAAATTAGAAGAAAAAAAAATAATGAAGTGTTTAGATGTTAAATAAATGGGTAAAGTATTTATAAATTGATAAAAATATAGAATTTTTTTTATTGAAGTATTTAGATGTTTAATAAATAAGTAAGTTTATTATCAATAATACACCCATAAACACTTTCAATACCATCTACGTAAATAACCGAGGTATATCGAGTGAAAAATACGAGTTGCTTCCCTTATCTTCGAGTAAAATCGATACCGCTTACAGAGATCTGCCGAGGACGCGATTTTGCGCCATTGGCGCTAAAAAAATGAGAATGGCGCAGGAAAATCGGCAGCAAAGGGCCATTGGTGCATCTAAAATCTGTGCCAGACTTATAAGAAAACAAAACTGTCTGCTGGGTTATTTAGTCATCCAGTCAAAACTGGTACCAACAGCAACATGTTACCCATGCTCCTGTAATTACGCATATTCTTTAGTTTATCCATTCCCCTATAGCTTTTGTCCATGTTATCTACTTACCGCATTTCTTCTCATAATCCCTTTCCCACACAGATACTCATTTCTACTACCGTAAATTTAATCCAATAAAACAAACAAACAAATTATACAACTACTTAATATTAAAATGATTATCGGTAACTGAAAAAAAAGTGTTGCTATTTTAAGAAATGCTGTAAGTTACAGTATAATCTGACAGGTGTTCAACTTGATCAACCCTAAGGTCACTCAAGTTCACGCAAGTTTTGGCTGATGAAGTGTAAAAAAAGATTATATTTCGTCATCAGAATGTTTGACAGGGTGATTAACCAATCAGAGAAACATTATGCATGACTTTTTTCATGATCAAAAGGTTTGTATGCAAATGTCTTTGATGTATGCTGTCTACACAGAGGCATACAAGGGGCAATAAAATTCGTCAATATACATTGGTAAGGGACATTTTGTGCAAAGTAGGAACAATTAAATGGATAATGCACAATATAAGACATTACAAGTAAGAACCAGCAATTATGTGAATAAATTTGCATATCAAATTTTTGAGCAGCCATTAAAAAAATATTTTCATTTTTGCCTGCAATTAATATTAGTTAGAAAGTTACCATGTAGGCATAATTTTTAATTATTGGTAAAGTACTGAATTATAAGTGAACCACTTGTCATAAAATATGATTTAAGTTTTATTACCGGGGAAATTCAATTACATGTATCTACAAACTTTTTAACAGTTATTTTGGTCAATGTTTACTTATTTTCCCAAGGCCCATACTTTGGTAAAAATGGCCCATCATTTTCAGACCAAGTGGGCCCAGGGCCCAGTACTTTCAAATTCTTGGCAGATCTCTGCCGCTTATGCTAAAACAATACAAAATAAGCCATTTTTAAACCGCTGGTTTGTTGTGATTAAATGTCCGATTTTAAAATGTATTACACCAATAGAAAGCTTTGGATCTTAGCTTCATCACAGTATAAACTTCAACACATCTTTTGACTCCAAAGTATTTAAATTAACTGTTAAACCTATCATATGTCAGACCATTTTACATACGATTTATACAGTGAAATACGCAACCCGTTATCTTTACTCGAAATACCACTGATAAGAATAGCCTGTCGTCTGCTAGTTCTGAAAGTGTTTATCGGTGTATTCAATTGATATAGATTAGAAAAAAATATTTTTATTAGATCATATGTATACATTTTAATGTGTTTAGTCATTGAAAATAATTAATGAATAATTTTCTTGATTATTAGAAATTAATTATTGTGTGTGTGTTTTTTTGTTTTTTTTGATAAATAAAAAAAATTTATAAGAAAAAATGATTAATGAATTTAAATGCTAAATATTATACTTTTGTATAATGAAGAAAAGGGAGTTCAATTCACATGTGCGTTAAGTTTGCTGTCAGAGATAATTGAAAGAATCAAGGTGTTGATTACGTTAAAATAGCTGTCAAAAGGTGTTGATGGATAAGTATTTTGTTAGACCTGTGTATATCGATCACTGTCCAATAATCTTAATCTCACAAAATATGCAATATGAAGGTGTTGATAGGATTAACATACCCGAAAAAAAAGGTGTTAAACTTTCAGATAAAACATAAAATGCACTAAACACATCCTTTTAATAATCTTCACTAAGAAATATTATTAGATTAAGTCAAAACTAAAATGATATCTTATTAAAAAAAATGGGGGGAGAACTGTCTGCATATTTCAAATTAGGGAGAGAACCGTCAGGGGAGGAAAGGGTTTGGGGGAGAACCGTCAGGGAGAGGAAGTGGTAAGGGAGAGAATAGTCTGTCATTCTATTTATTATACTCACTCTGCTATTAGCCAATTAACCCATTTGTTTTAATTTTTCCGTTTGGATACACAAGTTATAATTTGGGTTAATGATTTAATGTACACTATGATAAGCTATTTAAATAGAATTTTCGATTTAGAGTCAAGTCGTCCCATAGTGAGAAATTAGAGTAAAACACGTCCCGTAGTCAACTCGTCCCCTTACTTGTCCCCTATTTCTATTATTAATTTATTCTAATATTTGATAAATTATCAGAGAGTTTAAGATATACCTTAAACAAAAACTTGCAAGAGAGATGACAGAAATTGACACAGGGACTCATTTTTTTACCCTACCATGTGCTGTGTTAGTATGTACCTTTATTATATATTAATATAATTAAGTTGAGGTTTATCTTTACGCAATCATAATTATATGCATTATCTGACTACTTGGTTATTTTATCAACTTACAAACAACAGCTACTCATGTGAAATTCAATACAAAGCTTTGCAACTAATGATTTAATGATATTTGGATATCTGTTGATTTTTATACACCCTGGCGGGGGACGGTTGGGCAGCTGGGCGGTGTCCAATTTTGTCCAGAGCATATCTCCTACAGTACACCCATGGAGGAATTTTAATGAAACTTTCATAGAAATGTTCACACGGCACCCACATGAACCAGGTCTCTGATCAAAGGTCAAGGTCACACAAGGTCATTGAAAAAACGCTTGTCCGGAGGAAAACTTCTACATGCCATCGAGGGGTTTCAATATAACTTGGCACAAATGTCACCATTGTAAGGCAGAGTGTCGGATCCCTAAGGCCAAGGTTTAGGGTCACAATAGGAGACAAAGTTTCAGATAAAAATAGGAATATGTGTATTTGTACCATTTAGTTATCATTTTATTGAGGGATGAAAACACAAATGGTCATTATCATGCTGCTGTTGTGAAACATGTGTAATTAAGGTTAATATATCAGTGTTCCCATTCACGCACAAATGTACGTGAATCACGTATAATTTACAAAAATCACGCATGAAATTACAACTAGGTGCGTGCATGCACGTATAAAAATTGAAGTAAAACTGCAAAAAAATTATCCGCAAAGTCGAAGCACAAATCAATAATCTACTCGTAAATCTCTGAAATTGTTTGCAAGACCGTAATTTAATCCGATCAGTCATAACTTAGGTCATAACTCTGGTTTCCCAGCTGTGCTATTTTTAGCTCATGGACTGGTTTATAATTATTAACGACGCTTCTTAACGACAAGTCTACATCCGGGCAATACAATTAAGCCGTCTGAAATATTAAATAATCGCAGGAAAAGTTATTGAAAATGCAACGCAATTTAAATGAATGGTTTCATAAAAGCGATTCCAGCGAAAAATCGCCCACCCTTACTCAATCCTCTAGCGCAAATCAAGAACCAGGCCCTAGTGAAAATAGTGATGAAACCCCCCTAAAGAAACATTGCAACGATTTCAGAACTCCTGGTTGTCCGAAATTTTCATGGCTTAGATTTGACAAAAGACAACGGGAAAATGTTTTTGCTTTAACATTCGAGACATATTTGAAAAACAACTAAAAAAAGTCTGAAATCCGCGTTTACAATTGGGACTAATAATTTCCAGCGGTCAGCATTAGTTAGACACCAGAAATGCGACGATCACAATGTGTCAAGCAATGCCAAAAGCAACAATCTTACATGACTGCTGCTGTAAAAAAGTTCTGAAAAAATAGAATCAATCTTAGAGGCACATATTCTGTGAAGTGTACCCCCAAAAATATGACCTAGGGGGTACATGTACCTCAAATTTAAATTCTAGTGGGAACACTGTATATTCAAGGTCACTAGAAATGATAGTGAAGGTCACTAAAGATGATAAAAAATTAAATATAGAGATTTTGTCCATAGCATATCTCCCACACATATGGAAGTTCGTACAAATGTTCACCATTATAAGAAACAGTGTCATGCGCATGGGGTACCAATGCGCATGAACTAGGTCTCCAGGTCAAAGGTCAATGTCACACTTAGAGGTCATTGAAAAACGCTTGTCCAGAGCAAAACTTCTACATGCATAGAGGGATTTCAATATAACTTTGCACAAATGTTCACCATTGTGAGGTGAAGTGTTGCGTGCAATATTATTAACAGAATCCTGATAAACAAAAATGACAGATGTTAAACAGCTTGCCTTTCCATTGGCATTATTAAAGTTAAAATTTGGGAAACAATGATATTTGTTCACAGGAGAATGGTGGTTGGGCCCATGAAGAGGGGAAAAACAAACACACAGAAATGAAGCTGCCACAGTTTTATTGGAATTGCTGGTTTTTTTTTGAAAGAATGACAATATACATGTTGTATAATGCAGTTCTAATATACATGCTGATGCAGTTTTAAACTTCATTTAACCCTTTCCTTCATGAGCATATTGTGAAAAATGGCCGTTTTCATTGAAAAGCCTCCCGTTACAAGTTCAAACTGCTATGAAACTATGAAAAATGCTTCAATACTAATCAAAACTTGGCACAAAATGTTGACTGGACCATTGCCTTTGCAACAACATGCTCAGTCTTAAATTTCCTGTTACCATGGCAACGAGGGGACATCTCAAAATTGCCAAAAATCACTATTTTGCCTCGATTTTTTCCATCAGTATTTATTTCAAAGTGCTGCAACTTCTCAAGGGATTGAGATAGAGTCAAAGGCTTTTCAGCGTTGGTTACACGTTACCTTATGATCGACCCTGGGGTCATGTTTAGCCTCTCACAAGTCCAAAATTTTCTTGGCGATGAGGGGGACTACCACCACCCCCTTCAAACCGCCCAAACAGAAGGGGGCACATCCCCCTTCTGGCAACCCCCTGATGTATCTTTTGGATGGGGGGTGGTGCCGAAAAGTGCTCACTTTTTTAGCAACATTTCTCAAACAAAAACATGTGTTTGGGGCCCAAATAGGACATTTTTTCACTATTTGAGGCCTAAAAGGGGGGGGGGGGGGTCGAAAGTGCGTTGTTTCGCGTATATGTGAGGTAATGGGTTAAATGTTTAAAAACTTACTAGTCATTTATAAATGCATGCCTACACTATAATTTTTAAACAGAAAATTGTTTGGAATAATCCACTTGCTACTAATGTTGGAGATGTCACAGCTGACATGGGAATGTTATGGTGAAAGTCCACTTGTAAAAATGGGCAAACTTTGGGAACATTTTTACGGCTGTACTTTTTGTCTTATATAATTTAGTATTTTGCATAAGTTTAATTTGATTTTATTTCTTGCATTATTATCATTCTCACTGTAAATTTATGATTTCAAACATGCTTGTAATGATTACATGTACTATAATACTTTCTATATATTAAATCAAATTTTGTTTTTTTTTCTATGAAACCACGTCTAGCCATTTTAGCCAAAATTTATAGCTGCATGTAAGTCGCATATGGCTAACCCAAGTACAAGCTAGTTACAGTTATAAGACATGTTTTTTTTTTTTTTTTTTTTTTTTTTTATGCCCCGCCATGTAATGGCCGGGGCATATAGTGTTACCCTGTTCCGTCCTTCCGTCATTCCGTCCTTCCGTCCTTCCGTCATTCTGTCATTCCGTCATTCTGTCATTCCGTCATCATCAGTTTCCGTTCATTATCTTAGTAACGGTTGCACACATTCAACTCAAATTTGACATATGGATATGTCATGAGAAAATACAGGTCAAGTTCGAATTTGGTCATGGTTCGATGATTTTTGGCAGAGTTATGCCCCTTTTACTTTGAAAATAATATGAAATTTTCAGTTTCCGTGCATTATCTCCTCAACGGTACAATACATTCAACTCAAACTTGACATATGGATATGTCATGATAAAATACAGGTCAAGTTCAAATTTGGTCATGGTTCAATGATTTTTGGCAGAGTTATGCCCCTTTTACTTTGAAAATAATATGAAATTTTCAGTTTCCGTTCATTATCTCCCCAACGGTACAACACATTCAACTCAAATTTGACATATGGATACGTCATGATAAAATACAGGTCAAGTTCGAATTTGGTCATGGTTCGATGATTTTTGGCAGAGTTATGCCCCTTTTACTTTGAAAATAATATGAAATTTTCAGTTTCCGTTCATTATCTCCCCAACGGTACAACACATTCAACTCAAATTTGACATATGGATACGTCATGATAAAATACAGGTCAAGTTCGAATTTGGTCATGGTTCGATGATTTTTGGCAGAGTTATGCCCCTTTTACTTTGAAAATAATATGAAATTTTCAGTTTCTGTTCATTATCTCCCCAACGGTACAACACATTCAACTCAAACTTGACATATGAATACGTCATGATAAAATACAGGTCAAGTTCGAATTTGGTCATGGTTCAATGATTTTTGGCAGAGTTATGTCCCTTTCACTTTGAAAATAATATTGATACATCTGAGGAATAAGCAGTTTGAATTTGGTCGTGGTTCAATGATTTTGGACAAACTTATCTTTCTTGAATGTTGGAAAAATTTTGAACTTTCAGTTTCAGCACTCATACTTTTGTGGAAATGTATGTAGCCATTATTTTGGCTACAAATATGAAATATGATATTTTCAAAAGGTTAAGACTGAATAATTTCAGTGCCTTGAATATTGTATGGAAATGGTTTGTGTTAACATTGAAAAGTTTTAAGGGCTTTGAACTTAAAATGAAATAATTTGTGCAAACAAATTTGGAACTAAATATTATAACATCTGAAATTTTGGCTGCATGCGGGGGCATCCGTGGCATGATGACACATTTCTAGTTTTTTTCATGAACTGGTGTTTTTTTTTTTTTAAATGCTTTATCAGATAATGTTTGGTAATTTTGTGTGAAAGTTTGAAAGAAAATCAGAATGTCCAAAGATACATGTATATACATTAATGGAAGAGCGTTATGTAATTTTGAATTTTTGAATTTAATAAACAAATTTTGCAATTATATAATGAGTAGTTTAGAATTTAATATTTGAGTGAGATAAATCAAAATTCAAATTATGATTTAAAAAAAAATAAAATAAAAAAAAGTTAAAGAATTGCATGCTTATTATTTTAAATATGGTAAAATATCATTACAGGTTTGCAACATCCAAAGAGACCCTGACATGGATTCAAGATTCGTTTTTCACAAGGTATGTGTCATTGTACAACTACAAAAAAGAAATTTGTTGAATTTCTACTAATGTGTATTAGAATTCCTATATCACAAAAACAAGAAAATGGCTATTCATGTATAATACAATTTTTACGTAGTCAAAGATTTATGAAAATTATCCTCATGGTTTGAATTTTAGCTTGCATTCTTATTTTGGGAGCTCATTAGAACATTCTATTATCTGCTATATAAATACATATAATATCAGATTATGTATCTCACAATTGCCAACAACTTCCTTATATGGTTCTTTTGTGGTTTGTTGTTATATCTGAAAATAAATACTTTCAATGTAATTATTCATTGTATTACAGACCTTCCATTATAGACCAATTCACTTTAAACATTATTTTAACTACATGTATAATCTTTTTATTTACATATTAAATTACATATAAATGACTTATGATATGCTTACAAAATGTTTCAATTTGTTGTTTTGTATATTTTTCTATTATTTTCAGTTTACTAAGTGGAAGAATTTCTTCCTTAAAAGATGATAATGGAGCAGTAAGTATATTCTTTTTGTTTTTTTTTTTCATATAAGAGAGCAATAAATATACCTGTCACATTTATAATTTATGACTTGTATTTATTATACCTCGACCCAGTGATTTTTTTCACTGTATTTTACAGCCGGATAAAGGCTGTTTCCCCTAGCCCAAAATAGGTATATTTTCCCCTAAAAATGCATATATTTTCGCCTAAAATGCCTCATGCTCTTCCTTACCAGAACCATGACTTAATATCACAGGATAACATTTTTGTGTGTATTGGGTAATTACCATTTTGTTTTGTGATCTATTGGGTTTTTTTTCTATTTTCTTTGAGTTACTTCTGTATTTTTTACCCTACCCCTCTAACTAATTTGGGTTATAAAGCATGAGTTCATGTATTTTAACCAAAATTTCTGACCTACATTGTAGACTGTTGTTAGGTTTTGTATGGTTATAAAAAGCTACTTATTACTTTGCTTTATGGTTTATTGGCCTAGGAGATTTCCAAGCTGCCTGAAATAAATTTAAAGGTTAAAACAGTATGAAACAGTATGATCTGCCTGATGTACGCAATAAGTAATAATTTACATCATTACGCACCAGTTCAAATGTAGTTTGCATAAATAAGAATTCATTTACTTTTTCTTACCCTTAGTTATTATTTCTATCGGGTTTTTAGACATTTTAATTGGGTAATAACGCAAATACGCATGTTATTTGCAGCCCTGATATCATCAGCTAGAAGACAGAAATCTGTCCCTATAGATAGCGTCTGCTATGTAACATGTATGTTAAATTGAATATTTTCTCCTTCAGAAAGCCACAGGTTGTTTTGAAAATTGGAAAAAAAATCACTGCCACCAAACCTAGTTTCTTTGGGGGGAGGGGGGGGGGGGCTCTATAGGAATCACTTTGTCTTGACCCATCTCGAAAACCGGTGGAGGTATTAACTTGAAACTTGGTACATCAAAGTAATATCACAATGCAACTGTCTCCATCAAGTTTCATAACTCTTATATTTAGTTTGACAGAATTATGTCCCTTATAAACTCAGAAAATATCCCAAAGATGTATCAAAAGTGGCTATTGCTTTGAAGTAAATGACTGAATTTGTCTTCATACTTGAAAACAACAATCCTTTTGAAACATCATAAAATATAGTTCCAGTTTTTAAATTTGGCTGCAGAAGATAATGAAGTTAAGGTGGTGGGTGGGGCATGAATCACGTTTCAGTAATAGTTCTAGTTATTATAATGATGGCTTGATCTTTTCTAGCAAAATGATGGATAATGAAAACATACATGTATAAGTGCCAGGATGCAGACTAGAAAAATTGTAATTGTAAACCAGGGCTGCCATTAATGAAAGTTTGGGAGTCATTTACTCCTTGATTTTAGCTTGGGACTTCTAAAAGCTAATACTTTTCCTCCTTACCTATATAATGTGACTTTCAATATCAGAGAATTTGCAGTCTCTAACTTCCAAATTTTGGAACTTAATGTAAGCCCTGTTTAACTTGAATTAAATTAGCATAGATTTGTTTTCCAATGGACATTTCCAGTGTTTACAGTTTGATGTAAATTGGCTGACTGGCCGTCCGATAACTAAACTGGCTGGATTAAAGCATTGTTACTAGCTCACTAGTTGACCTGGTTAACACAAAAAAACATGGTTTTGTTTGTGATACTGTTTGTGAACAGTGGACCTATATGTTGTAATGAATGGTAAAGGTGGGGCTAAAGTTTTCACAGCTAGAAATCTTCCTAAGCTTACTGGTAAATAAAAATGTCTGTGATACAAACATGAAATTATCAATTTCCCCATCAGAGCTAGCTACAATTTATAACTCTTATTGTATCACTTCTTTCTGTATCAGAATATATTTTTTGAAGCATATTTGAAGCGTAACTTTTTGCTTTTTCTTCCAGATATTCATTGATAGAGATCCAGCCTTATTCACTGTGATTTTAAATTATCTACGGACAAAAGAAGTTGATTTAAAGTAAGTTATAGTTATCACTATTTTGTTAATAAGATTGTAGTTTATTTTAACATTGATTCTTAAATTTGCACATTCATTTTAAAGTGAGTCAGTAATTCATATATTCTACAAAAAGAGGGGCATTATGTCATGTATGTTATCAATAATTTATGTTTTAAGAGTTTTTTGTTGTTGCTTAGATGTTTAAATGATGTTTTATGTGAAAAATGTGTAAAATTAACATTAGTATTATTACTATTTGCATAAATCATGGAGTTAATGGGAGAAAACTTAAAAAATAAGCCAGGAAAGTAAGTTTTTTTTTTCTTGATATCAAGTATTGAATTTGGAATGAATATGTTTGATAAGGTTTATTTTATCTTCAATTTCAGCAATGTAGATATCAGTTCACTAAAGCATGAAGCAGAATTCTATGGTATCAAACCTCTAGGTATGATGTTTATTATTTATTTGGTATATCATAATTTTATACATGAATTAAAAAAATTTCTGCAATATTATTTTTTCGAAATAGATGAATGCGAAATAGTTGTCAGTATACTGGTTTTGCCTTTGATAATGTTTTTATGCCCCCACAGAGTGGGAGCATATAGCGTTGCACTTGTCCGTCCGAGTGTCAGTCCGTCAGTCCGTCCCGAAATCTTGTGAACGCAACTCCTCTTAAACCGGATGGCAGATTTTGCTTAAACTTACAGGGATGAACAACCTTAATGTGTAGATGGTAGTAAAGGAAGGAATTTTTGCTGCTACCAGATTTAACAGAATTATGGCCCTTTGTTGATTTTTTCACTAGATACTATGAAGAAATTTTGTGAACGCAACTCCTCTTAAACCGCATGGCAGATTTTGCTCAAACTTACAGGGATGAACAACCTTAATGTGTAGATGGTAGTAAAGGAAGGAATTTTTGCTGCGACCAAATTTAACAGAATTATGGCCCTTTGTTGATTTTTTCACTATATACTATGTAGAAATTTTGTGAACGCAACTCCTCTTAAACCGCATAGCAGATTTTGCTTAAACTTACAGGGATGAACAACCTTAAGGTGATGATGGTAGTAAAGGAAGGAATTTTCGCTACGACCAAACTTTACAGAATTATGGCCCTTTGTTGATTTTTTCACTATATACTATATAGAAATTTTGTGAATGCAACTCCTCTTAAACCGGATGGCAGATTTTGCTTAAACTTCCAAGGATGAAACGTTTATGTGTAGATGGCAGTAAAGGAAGGAATTTTCGCTGCGACCAAATTTTACAGAATTATTGCCCTTTGTTGATTTTTTCACTATATACTATGTAGAAATTTTGTGAATGCAACTCCTCTTAAACCGGATGGCAGATTTTGCTTTAACTTCCAGGGATGAACAACCTTAATGTGTAGATGGTAGTAAAGGAAGGAATTTTTGCTGCGACCAAATTTAATAGAATTATGGCACTTTGTTGATTTTTTCATTATATACTATATAGAAATTTTGTGAACGCAACTCCTCTTAAACCGGATGGCAGATTTTGCTTAAACTTCCAGGGATTAACAACCTTAATGTGTAGATCGTAGTAAAGGAAGGATTTTTTGCTGCGACCAAATTTAACAGAATTTTGGCCCTTTCTTGATTTTTAGTTTTCAACTTGTGGCACATGAAGTCCAAAAAATATTTGACCTAGAGTCATAAGATTGACAGAACAGTGGCGTGTGGGGGCATCAGTGTCCTATGGACACATTTCTAGTTTTTAATGAGTGAAATGTTTGTGTTTGTGTGAGATAAGTGCATTGTTATACCAGTATGAATACTTATTACAGTTCGAAGGTTGTGTCTGTGTGAGGAATTAGATGCAGCTTCATGTGGGGATGTTCTCTTTCATGGCTATCTCGGACCACCTTGTAAGTTGTTTTATATAACTCTGGTAATATAATTATTTAAGGATATAAGCTTTATATTAAACAATACTTATAAGGTGATCTATTTTTGTTTGTTTAATGTTGGGTTTATTATGAACAAACATTTAAAGTGCATGCTGCAATTTTAGTTTATACAGAATTTTAGTTCAGTTGTAGGTTGCTATAAGCTTATAAACACACTTTGGAAACTAACCAGCACTGAGCAATGGGTGTAAAGTTTCTTGCTCAAGGAAACAACACCTTGCCCCCAGGGTTTGAACCCACGTGACATCTCTCTCTAACTTTCCTTAGATTACTAGTCCAACCATTTACCATGTAGCCACTTAACAATATTGCAAATGTTCTTTTGATTTTGATATTCAGTCAATAAAAAAAGGTGACTTTGCAAATACTTATAGTGTAACCAAACTAAAAACAATAACTTTTATTCAGAAATTTTACTTTTTAATTCTTTTGATTAACACTGAACCCATTCTGTCAATGTAAGACATTTCCATTACACAAACTAGACTCGTAAGGTTTTAAGTGACATGCTCAAAAGTTATGTATGATAGATAAACAGAAAACATTAATTCCATCCAAAACATTTAAAAATGATTTATTTGATTGGAACCATAATTAAAATTAAGAAAAAATGCAATTTTGGCAATTTTTCAGCTTTGATTTTTATAAGAAGTAAATTACTCATTGGCTTAATCAATTTATTATGTTGTTTTTTTCACAGGTCCCCCAGTACCAGATTTTATGAGAAGTAGGTCACAGTCTATTATTAGCACTGACAGTCACCATGCTATTAGAGGGGCGACACCACAAAGGTATTTATGTATTTGTAACTGTTGTTTATTGTATTTGTAATTATTGTTTATTGCTAAATTAAAACATTCAATTTTTAGCTCACCTGTCACAAAGTGACAGGGTGAGCTTTTGTGATCGCTTTTCGTCCGGCGTCCGTCCGTCCGTCCGTCCGTCGTCCGTCCGTAAACTTTTGCTTTAAATGACATCTCCTCATAAACCACTGAGCCAATTTCATCCAAACTTCACAGGAATGTTCCTTTGGTGGTCACCTTTAAAAATTGTTCAAAGAATTTAATTCCATGCAGAACTCTGGTTGCCATGGCAACCGAAAGAAAAATCTTTAAATATCTTCTTTTAAACAACCCTAAGAGCTAGAGCTTAGATATTTGGCATGAAACATCTTCTAGTGAGTGTCTACCAAGTTTGTTCAAATAAAAGCCCTGGGGTCAAAATTGGCCCCGCCCCAGGGGGTCATTGATTTTCCCTATATGCATATAGTAAAAACTTAAAAAATCTTCTTTTAAAGAACCCAAAGAGCTAGAGCTAAGATATTTGGCATGAAACATCTTCTAGTGAGTGTCTACCAAGTTTGTTCAAATAAAAGCCCTGGGGTCAAAATTGGCCCGCCCCGGGGAGTCATTGATTTTCCCTATATGCATATAGTAAAAACTTAAAAATCTTCTTTTAAAGAACCGTAAGAGCTAGAGCTTAGATATTTAGCATGAAACATCTTCTAGTGAATGTCTACCAAGTTTGTTCAAATAAAAACCCTGGGGTCAAAATTGGCCCCGCCCCAGGGGGTCATTGATTTTCCCTATATGCATATACATTGTAGTAAAAACTTAAAAAATCTTCTTTTAAAGAACCCAAAGAGCTAGAGCTAAGATATTAAGCATGAAACATCTTCTAGTGAGTGTCCACCAAGTTTGTTCAAATAAAAGCCCTGTGGTCAAAATTGGCCCCGCCCCGGGGGGTCATTGATTTTCCCTATATGCATATAGTAAAAACTTAAAAAATCTTCTTTTAAAGAACCATAAGAGCTAGAGCTTAGATATTTGGCATGAAACATCTTCTAGTGAATGTCTACCAAGTTTGTTCAAATAAAAGCCCTTGGGTCAAAATTGACCCCGCCCCAGGGGGTCATAGATTTTCCCTATATGCATATAGTAAAAACTTAAAAAGTCTTCTTTTATAGAACCTAAAGAGCTAGAGCTAAGATATTTAGCATGAAACATCTTCTAATGAGTGTCTACCAAGTTTGTTCAAATAAAAGCCCTGGGGTCAAAATTGGCACCGCCCCAGGGGGTCATTGATTTTCCCTATATGCATATAATAAAAACTTAAAAATCTTCTTTTAAAGAACTCAAAGAGCTAGAGTTTAGATATTAAGCATGAAACATCTTTAAGTAAATATCTACAAAGTTTGTTCAAATAAAAGCCCGGGGGTCAAAACTGGCCCTGCCCCAGGGGTGTCATTGTTTTTAACTATATGTGTATAGTAAAAACTTTAAAAATCTTCTTTTAAAAAACCCAATGAGCTAGAACTTAGATGTTTAGCATGAAACATCTTCTTATGGGTGTCTACCAAGTCTGTTCAAATAAACAAATAAAAGCCCTTGGGTAAAAATTGGCCCGGGGGTGGGGGGGGGCCTATATACAGGTGAGCGACCTCAGGGCCATCATGGCCCTCTTGTTTAAATTGAAACTTTTGACAAAAGTTTTGGTATTAATCTTTTATTCTTTTTAGTTACCTGTGAAATATTATTATTTAAAGTGTGAAGATAGCTGTAAGATAAGACCTTTTTTAAGTTCTAGGTTTTATTAAACCTTATTTTAGCATACAATAATGAAATGTGCATCAATAATCTATACATGTATAATGACAGAAAATTAGGAAAAGTTATTTCAATATGGTTTTGATTAATTTATCTCTGGTTTTCAAAGAAAACCATGAATTTAGTTAAAATAAAATCAAAAAAGAAATCAAGGGAAGACTTTTTCTGCAAACATACAAAAGGTATATAAATATTTTATCTTCTTAAACACCTGTTTTTGCTCTGATTGGGCAGTTGAAGTGTTTCTTCACTGAGAAAGCTGGATAGTTGTGGTATAGCACATGTATTATGAACGTTTGTGTCATTTCATCCCATGAATCTAAATTAATCTGTTTTCTATTAATCTTGGTCCCTGTGTTACTCTCCAGGCATTCCTCCGTTGATCCAAGACCTGGAGACTCCAGTCAGGATGATGTTCATACACACGCCAGACAGATGTCCGTTGACTTTTCGGCATTGATGCACCATGGCTCTAGTATAGCCCGTACACCATCGACTCATAGTATGTCACGGTTGTCTCTATCTACAGATGCTAGGAGTATATCCAGACCTGTTCCGTATGAGTCGCTTAGCACAAGACTCGCACATGCACAACCTATGTCTGGTAAATATGTATCCAAACTTTACTATTAGCTATTTTTTCACAGTCTGTTATAGTTCTTTTTGTATATTGTTTCTTTTAGTTGGCATATATCATACATGTATAAGAGCGTAGGATATCTTAAAAATGCCTGTGAAAATTACATATATGTTAGTGATATTTTGATGTATGTTTGAATGTGTAGGGAGTAACAGCCTTATAGTACAGGTAACTGAATTTCATTTAATCAAGGGGATTTGGGTTTGAGCCCTTCTAGTACCACACATGTGACACGTCTTACATGACGCTGTTACTAAAAACAATCCTGAAGGTTCAAATGTTAAAATTTTCAATTTAGCTCACAATTATCTTACCAGCTGAGATTAAATAAATACAAATTAAATTGAAAACAGCTATTAACTTAAGAAAATAAAGTAAAATATACATTTGCATATTTAAAAAATGATTCAGGTTATATAACAGATCCATTAAAGGTGACCATGTTGCGAGGTCATCACAACTGGATTGCTGTAGCATACCCACACTTTGTGTGCTGTTTTAGGTAAATATTGAACATCCTCTTTAATCATTCTCATTGTTTTGTGACATAAATATGCAGTATTAAATACCAATTTGTTTTGGATATTTTACAAGTTATTTGATTTTTATACTGCCTGTGGCTGAGGTGTTTGGTTTAACTGACCTCTTTTCCACTTGCCCTTAACTCCTGTGACTTAAGTTTGAGAAAAATGAGCTAATTATTTTATGAAAAAGCAATCAAAGTCAATGTTTCATATCTGGTTCTGGGATGTTCATGTACATCAAAATAATGTATGAAAAGTGTTTTAAAGCTCTTCCACCACTTTAAAGCTAGAAAGTTACAGCAAAGTTATAGCATATTACTACAATGTATATGACCTAAATATTACCAGGGCTTCTTTAAACCTGGACTTTAGGCATAATTAAATGATGCTGTTTTTTTTTGTTTTTGTTTTTTTATACATAAATCGTGTAAAGTAAATCATTTGTTGATATCGCAATTATTTTATCCTTATAGGATGAAAGATTCTACTGGCTGGCATCTGATCTGGACAAGTTCCTACCTGGATATACCTATTGAACGTATAGCTATCAATGCTAAAGTCCTGTCAGCCAATCAGGATAATACAAACAAAATGGTTGCCGCATCTTCTGCTAGTCTTGTCAGGCTCTGGTCAATATCCGACGGTGATGGCGAAAGCCGAGAAATTGGTATGCGATATAAGTCTTCCTTTATAAAGATTATAGTTAGAAAAAGTCTTTTGAGTACAATGTATAAAAGAAATTTTATACGTTAAATCAGGTTGAGAGATTGCATGTGGCAAAAATCATTGGAAGGGGATGCATTGACAAAAATTAATTGAGGTATCTAATTGACTAATTATTGTGACCTTTACGATAATGGGATTGAGCCCCTCTGAAGTCACAACCAAGTTTCCTTATATGTCACTTATTTGGTTAATCCAGTTAGCGGAATGGAAAGTAATTCATATTAAATGAAAGTTGTTTCAAAATCCAGCTTAACTTAGTATAGTACCAGTGTGTTTGATTTAAACTAAAGCTAAATATTTCAAAAGTTTTTATGTGATGATATGCAACTGTTTGCCCAAAAGGGTTCACATGACTGTTTTTCATTCCCTTTATTTTGTTGTATATTTCAGGTGTGTTCAACTTGAATGTGTCAGTTGATTCCCTGTTCTTTATAGGCAGTCAGCTTGTTGCTCTCAGTAAACTTGGAAAGGTTGGAGTCTGGCACTCCATGACACATAATTGGCAGGTATGTAAATTATGAGAAGGCTGATTTGTTTGGTCTCTTCTAGGAAGAGAATTTGCACGTTAGAACACCTGTGAAAAGAGGTTTAATCGAATGTTCGGCAGTCATTTTAAAATGGCATCAAGTCAGATTTTTCGATTTTAATAATAAATGACCTTTTACCTGATTTGTGATAAAATATTTATTTTTGTCATCAGAAGAAAGTAAATGTGTAAACAACCGCAGTATTAAAATGTTTTATTTTACCTGCAAGCCTTGTTAGCTATGCTGTTTGATTGTGTTACTTTTACCTCTTCCAAGTCTTCAGGTGGAATAGATAGAAGAGCTTCACACAATAAAAGGCGACCAATCAAACAGTCTGGAAGAGCTCTTCTTATTCTAGTAGCCCTTTCATTTTTTTGAATCGTCAAAGAGTAAAATGCATGAAATTATCATTGTCTCAATCACTTTATGAAAAGATGACTTGAAATTAATTGCATTTTACAACTGTTTGAGTCATGCTCGTATTTTAGAATTTCCTTTTCTTCTAAGGAAATCTTCCAGCTAGTTTATAGTTAGTCACTAGGTGTATGCCAAACATATGGAAAAGAGAGGTTCATTTAGCTTTCTTCCACCTGTTAAGCTTAAAAATAACAATATCATGTGATATTAATACTGACTTTGAATCAATGGTCTTGCTGTGTGATTCTCACCAGGGCTTTGTGATTCTTTCATGTTTGGAAGCTACACAATAAGCTAATTGTAGGTTGTTGGTTAAAATCATGCAATAGCAATTGTCTGAAATCACCAAAAGTTGTCCTACACCAGTACAACTGAAAAATCTTCAGTGTTGGTGCAACTTAAACCCTGCCCTAAAAGAGTCTTTAACAGTAACAAACAGTAAAGATATAGTGAATATAGAAGCTTTTAATTTTAAGATTTTATGTATTGTATATATATTTTCAGATTCAAGATGTTGTGGCTATCACTAGTTATGATAAAGCTGGATCTTTTTTACTTCTTGGTTGTGAAAATGGTTCTGTCTATTATATTGGTGAGTAGGATTTGTCTAATTTAATACAGTGTTGTAGTAAGTTTTATTAAACAGTCTTGAATGTAGTCTCTTAAATATGTTTATTTTTCATTTTCTAAAATGTGTTTTCAGTCTTTCACATGTTTTCAGTGTCAAATATGTGTTTTCTTTCTCTTGAATATGCTTATTTTTCTTTTCATTTTCAAGTATATGTATGTGTTTTCAGTTTCAAATACCGATATGTGTTTCAAGACTCAAATATGTGTTTCCAATCTCAAATATGTGTTTCCAGTATGAAATATATGTTTTCAGTCTCAAATATGTGTTTTCAGTGTCTCATATGTTTCAAGTCTCAAATATGTGTTTTCAGTCTCAAATATTTGTTTCCAGTATGAAATATATGTTTTCAGTCTCAAATATGTGTTTTCAGTGTCTCATATGTTTCAAGTCTCAAATATGTGTTTTCAGTGTCTCATATGTTTCAAGTCTCAAATATGTGTTTCCAATCTCAAATATGTGTTTCCAGTATGAAATATATGTTTTCAGTCTCAAATATGTGTTTTCAGTGTCTCATATGTTTCAAGTCTCAAATATGTGTTTTCAGTCTCTCAGATTAAATATGATTTGATTATGAAATATAATTTACGTAGTTTCAGTCTTTACTGTAAGTTTGCTTTGTTTTACAGCTGTGGTTGAATTGTCAAACCAGAGATAACGTTCAATCTGATTAGAATCAGTTCTTAATGATGCTAAATGTAAGAAACAAGTAGATCTAACCTTACGTCAGATAAGGAATGATTTATGTAGGAATTGTACTTATTTTATGCAAACTATTTGAACAGATATGCAGAAGTTTCCTTTACGTATGAAGGATAACGATTTGTTGGTGACAGAATTGTATCGTGATCCTGCCGGAGACAAAGTTACAGCTCTTAGTGTGTACCTTACACCTAAAACAAGTAAGTTCTTATTCTTGAATACATATTCATTATAATTAAGTAGTGATTTAAGGTTTGTAATATATTTGTGTTGTTTTTTTTTTTGGCAATTTTTTCATATGATTATACAAATTTATACAAATTAGCAATAAATGTGCACTTAATGATTAAACTATACTTACTTTGTTTCTTTGTTCAGTTTTAGTATTTAGTTCTTTATTTTACTTCTATAGAAAATTAATGTTGTTTATACATGTAGTGGCAATGCTAATTCAAAAGAGTAAATACTTCTTTTCCTGGTTTATATTAGGTGATAAGAGATCTTTGAATGGCAGGGGTATACAATATTTAGCAGTTATGTTTGTTTATTTTATGATTACTATTTGATTTTACTGAAGAATTTGAATAAAACATTCATATAAATATTTTAGAATTGATATCATTTAACCAAAACCAACTAAATGTGGGTTAGTCTTTGCCACCAGTATAAAGCCAGGCCAGCCTGCACATTCTTGCTGCATGACTAGGCTCTATACTGTTTACTGAATAAATTTATACTTTTACTTTAATATCCTCAAAATTGATAATGGGCAGTTCATATAATGGATGCTGAGCAAGGACATTACACATGTTAAGGGTTAATTAGTGTAAAATGTTTATACCCATCCAAGGTTATGTAGTTTGTGAACAGGTTAAAGTCAAAATAAGTTTACATTTTGCCATAATTCCTTTAAATTTTATAATTTAATTTGTATGAATGATAAATAATTAACAAGACCCAAGTACATTTTTATAAATATCCATTTGAAATAACATGTAATGTTCAATTTAAAAAAAAACAACAACAGATTTATATTTTATCCTGAACATTTTCCAATATCAACTGTTGCTCAATCACCATAATTACAGTCAATCTTTTGAAATATAAAGAGAACTTGTTAAATATTAAAATATTATTATCATTTGAATAAATATTATTTGTATTTATTGTTTATTACCTTCCTTTAATCAGGATTTAGATTTAGAAATTATGCTTTAAAGCAATTTATTATTATCATGCTGTGTTAATTTCTTCAAGAAAATTAGTATCAACATTGTCATTGCCAACACTTCTTGTTTAATGTTCTATAAGATGATAAAAGATGAAAGGAACATGCAATAAAGGCAATTTATTCTTTAATTGTGTTTTTCCATTAGTTTTCAAATAAAGCTCAAGTAGGTTTTAAACTATTGTAATTTATACAAATGCTCTTTCTTTTATAAAGAAAGTTTTATGAATATTGCTGAATGTTCTTAGGTGTGAGTGGAAATTGGATAGAAATTGCATATGGCACAAGTTCTGGCACAGTACGGGTCATAGTGCAACATCCAGAGACTGTTGGGCACGGTCCTCAGCTGTTTCAAACATTCACTGTCCATCGAAGTCCTGTAACTAAAGTCATGCTGTCAGAAAAACACCTTGTGTCAGGTAAGGATTTGCTTAATCTTATAAATAAAATGATGAAAAACTTTTATCTGGACATTGTTTTTGTAATATTGAAAAGTGATTTAACAAAATTCCAAAGGAAAACTGCCTTATCAAAATTGCAAGAACTAAAATCAGTTGTAATATCTAATGCTTAATGATATATGCCATTGTAAGAGTTGGTCTGCATCAGCTATACATGATGAATGGCTAATTTTTTTACCCTAGTGCAAAATGATATTGACATTTCTTGAAATCTTTGTAAATGTACAATTGATACATTCGTTATCTGTATAAATAGAAACAGAAGGTAAAATTGTATTCACCATTAATAAAGACATAACCATCGTCAATAATTTGTGTCAGAATATTTCATCTATCCTTTATTTTACTTTCCAAAATATTGTTAAAACCAATTAATCATCCAAGAATCGTAGATTTTGGTTAATTTCCATCTTATCTCTATTCGTTATTTCTTGACTTTTTTGCTTATGTTGATTTTAATATTTACTGATGTGTATTTTTCTAAAGCTATTATTATATTGCAGTATGTTCTGAGTACAATCACGTACGTACATGGAGTGTGACACGATTCCGTGGAATGATCTCAACACAGCCGGGCTCCACACCTTTAGCTTCGTTTAAAGTGATATCACTGGAGGACTATGATCCAAATCAGAGCTACATGGCTGGAAATGATTTTGGTTAGTATATAATATTTACAAATAACAATGATATTGTTGTATAAATCAAAGCGTTATTTCTTGTTTGAATTGTACCCTGGCAGTTGTATGGTTTTATGATGTAAATTTAAATTTATGTTAGAAATTCTGATACTCTTTAATATAATAGTATAGTTGTGGCCTCTGGTTTATTTAGGATCATATCATTGTGTATGCAATGCAGTATTTTACTTTTTCAAAATACTTAGAACTAGAGTTTGTAGTTTAAAAATTAAAATATCATTTCATGTGTGAGTTTTGACTGTGTATATACTGTACATATCTTATGCCTCTTTTGTTTTATATTTTATCCTCTGTCTAATTTATAAAGACTTATATTCCAGGTCCATTTGGAGAGCAAGATGATCAACAAGTTTTTGTGCAGAAAGTAGTTCCAGAGACTGATCAGCTCTTCATACGCTTATCATCATCTGGCAGGAGGTATGTTCTCCAACAAGTTTTTATGCTCGACTAATCAAAGAATTAGGAGAGCTATTGTACTCACCCAGGTATTGGCATCACACTTCGGGTTAAGTTAAGTTTTTGTGTGCAAGTTGGTATCTTCAGAACTAATAAATGGAATGGGTTGAAACTTCACACACTTGTTATCCATGATTTTCTAACATGTTTGGCATAGGTCATATAGCACTGAGCTACAGTTTACAGAGTTATGCCTCTTTTCTCACTGTCAAGCATTGAGTATAGTCTAATTGACAGCTTTTGTTGTATATAATTGAACTCTTGAGAAAAGTTTGTATGTGGCATCCTTAATCTTTATTTTCTTTACAATCTTGATAATTTCATATAAAACAAAATTTTTGGGGTTACATATTGGTTTTTAAGCATGTTTTAATTTAATTTTATCTAAAAATACAGAAAATAATAAAGTGATAATTACAGGTATTGATTACATGATTTTAATCATTTAATCACAAATGAATGATTCATTTAATACTCTCATACTTTTCTTTGCCTTTGTAATAATGCTTATATCCAATTATATTTGCAGAGTTTGTGTGATTAAGTCTGTAGACGGTACAACGATTAGTGCATTCCGAGTCCATGAGTGCGAGGGCTCAAGTAGAATGGGCTCACGCCCTCGTAGGTTCCTTTTTACAGGTCACACTAACGGTGGTATACAGATGTGGGACCTTACAACAGCCCTAGATCTGATGAGCCCTGTTGAAGAGAGTAAACAAGTTGGGCCAATAAAACCTTGTAAGTAAAGAACTAATTATCTATAAATATTTGTAAAATAAATGGACATTCTTGCATGTAGAAGCAAAATAGATGTATGGCTTGTAGCATTTAAAAGAAATGAATTGTTTACCTCAAATGATGGTGATGGTGGTGATGGTAGTTTTCAGTTTGAATCACGTCAGTAAGCCACATTGAATTTACCAGATCTCAGTTTAGCCACCACCTCAACTGATCAATTGAGTTGCTTTTTATCAGCACAAAGACTTTATTGTAGCCATAGAAAGTATTTTGAATTAGGGTTCTTGAAGTTTGATGAGGAAACCCTTCCATGGCTTAAAAAATCATTTATTTTACTTTGAAAATATTTACCCTCATAGCTATTTGTTCATATCCCACAATGATTTCTTCAATGTGATGATGATAACGTGGTAACCAACAGAAGTCAATGGTTCTGCTCAGGTACCAGCATATGCCTAAAATATTGCACAGAAGAACATCTTAGGCATTCCTAATCTGATATAGCAAGAAAGCCGGCCTATGACTTTATAAGTTTTAATGTGACTTAAACCTGCTCCCCACCTCAAGTAATGAAACTTTTCAGTGTTGATATAAATTATCAACTAATTTCCTAATCAACTTTTACTTGAAAAAAAAAAATTCATGGAGATTTTCCTACTTATTTGATATTTTTTGTTTATGATTTTCAGCAACAACAGAACAAAATCTTGGTGGACCTACACCTAAGGAACTGGTGAAATTGTTAGACCAGTGTGACATATGTCAATCACAAAACTCCACCCCATGTATAAGCCCCTCCCCTTCTATTATTGGAGGAAGTATCCAGAGACCATGTCTAGACTTGGTACATGGGATTTCAGTGCCAAATATAGAGAATTTAGAAGATCAAGGTGCCGCTGGCGGGATCGAGAAGTCTCAGGTCACCAGTTTATGATGCATGCTCTCTTGTTATACAGGTGATTTCTGCTTGTTGTGAGATGTATTGTAAAAAACTGTTCAGCTAACTCTTAACATGCTTAATTTGTGTAATGGATTTGCCAAGCTTTGAATTTGGAACAGTCCATTTAAAGACTTAGGGATCTAGATATTAGTATTCAAAAATTGAACTTCAAACAGTATAGAGCCTGGTCAGACTACACAGATGTGCAGGCTTGCCTGGCTTTATATTGGAAGCAAATGCTATCACTTTTGGTTCAAGCAAGTTATGAGTTAGAGCATCTTTCTCTCTAAATTACTTTTGTAAAATCATTTCTTATGATTGAATTTCATATTTATCCTATATAAACAAAGGAGAATATTTCATTGGGATAAGTTTTAAATTCTCCACATTATTTATGGAGGAGCAAGAGATTTTCAATTAAGATATACACATGTAGTAAGACAATTGTAATTTCAAGATCCTTAAAAATGAAATGCTTTTCACAATATCTTCTCACTTAATATATGTTGTAACAAAAAAAAAGCCTTATCAATTTTATTTTGTTCATTTTTATGTGTAATAAAAATGAATAACTGCAATAGATTATTTGATTGTTCAGCATTTAACCCTTTGTGCATTATACATAAAGCCAAATAATCAAAAAGCTTTCTACTAATATTTAACACTCAAGTTTTGTCTTGTTTTATAGTTCATCTTGAGCTAAAACTTTTCACATTCTGTGCATTAATCAGTTGACACATGTTTTTTAAATGTCAGAATGTCTGTTTTCAACCTATGTCATGCTTGAGTTTTCTAATGGCCTTGTCCTGCTTTGAAACTAGAACTTCTTTTTTAACACTAGAGATTTAAGAATTTTGATATTAAATACTTAAATTGAAGATGTGCCTTTAAAGTATACATATGTAAAGCATATAGTCTGTTGAATAAGTTCAAAACTGTACATGTAGGTCATTTAAATGACTATGAAAGTATTAATTGGTTAGTATTTTTTTATCTGACATTTAATTAGCTGTAGATCTGTCATTAATTTTACTAATCTATGTTGCAATTAACAGTAATAGGTCATTAATATTACTATTACATATTTGGATTATTGATTATATATGTAATATGGGATTTAAATTACTTTTATATGTAGTGAATACAGTGTTTTGATCAGTATAATTACTATTACATTTTATGATTAGTTGATTTTAATTTTTGATGTAGGTTTTCCATAGTAATGTACATAATTATTACATGTTGCTATTACATGATTATCATTATATTTCAGATATATAATTGTAGTATACTAGAAATAGAAATCTTCTGTTTACATAACTTTTACATGTAATGTTTACAGTTTGGACCTGGTGAAAGATACAGACATAACAGAAGTAATAGTTACTGGGTGTGATCAGAAGATTTGTCTCCCTTTGAACTTTGAATTGTGCCATCATAATACTGGATCTGACAGAAGAATGTTTTGTTCTTTTGACAAGAGCAGTTACCATGTGAATCGTGCCATTTTAGGGAATATTAACTATACTTTAATGGATATACCATACTTTATAAAGCACTTAAATAATTTTTGATATAACATTAATGTAATACTGCTTTTTTCAACATCATAGCAACATGTTAAAATGTAGGCTTTTGCAGTATGTATATCACTTAAAACATTACATAATGTATGTATTTTTATTGTATGATAGCTTTCAAATGTATACCTTAAATTTGGTATGATACACACACATGCACTCTTGTGGAGCTGAAAATTGGAAAAGAACAATGTTTCAAATTATATCAATATTGTTAGATAAAATGGCATGTAAACTTTGTTCTTACTATATTAAGCTCTAAAACACTAGAGACTGTTCTTATATTTAATCTGAATTTTATCCCAGTTTATTCAGTAGTCTAGTTCACAAATGATCAAATTGTTATATGTTATAACATACAAAGAGTGCTGAAGGACTAGACTTTCTCATAGAAATTTGCTTTTACTTTGTTTCAAATTGAACTGGTTACTATTGTTACAATACTATATAATGTGAGGAAAGTGTAAAGTGTATGCTAGGTTGTGTTATGAGCAATGATCTGAAAGAATTACCTTTGAACAAAATATTTGTCATGTTAAATAGAGACATTTTATTGATCTGAATTTATTTTCATGGCCATACTTTAGATTGGAGGAGGGGTGGGCATACTGTTTTTTAATTTTTATCTCGTCTTTCTCGTAGGATAAGTTTTACCTTGTATATTAAATTTTTAATTTATAAGCTTGAGCCTTAGTATGTGTATAAAAGATTCCTCTGGATAAGAGCTATATTTTGAGGCATCAAAGTTTGACATTATTCTGTAATGTGGATTAGAGCTCTTTATTTATCACATCTGTAACAATGAACATTCTTTGTTACCTTTACAGTGTTAAAACTTGTACTAAATTGTCCATGCTTTGAAATAAGTATGTAAAAATAATGTTAATACTATGGGGTTTGATATTGCATGCAACGTTAAGAATATAACAGTATTGAAGTTGTTCAAATGCATCAAATTTAGAATTATACAAGCAACTGTATAGAGCTTACCAGACTACAGAGATGTTTTTTTATATCAAAAAGTAAAAAGAAGCACAAAACAATATAGAGCTTGGTCAGACAACAGGGATGTTTTTGGTGTCAAATTTGAAATTGTTCACGCTAGAATTTGGTCATTTAGCTCCAATGTACAGACTGGGTATATACAGGGAGTAAATTATTTAAAATAATTAGTTCTCATTTTACAGAAAAATGTTTTTTATAACATTTTTCACATTTAATTGTCATATTTGAATTTCATGATTTCATGGTTCCAAAATAACGACTTATCCTACATAATTCTTTTATACTCATTTGTGATACCTATTCTTATAAGAAAGGCATCGTCATACCTCTAAAGTTCACCACATCTTCCCCACATCTTAAATTCTATATTTTGCTTAAAGTGGATTGGTCTACAATTGCAACATTTTCCATATTAAGCAGGGCTCTAGCTAGGCCAAAATTTTAGGGAGAAGTGACTTCTCCCTCAGCTCCTATCAGGGAGAAGTTTGACGACATAAGGAGAAGTGAAAAAGTGCTTAGTACATTGATTTGATCTATAAAAAGGAGTTTTACCTATTTATTGATAGTGATATTTGAAGTTTAAGTTCTAAAACCCTCTATCATCAGACCATTATAATGTTTTCTTCCTGATTAACTCCACACACCCCCCTCCCTTAAGAAAATATTCATTGTACAACACATACTGGCAAAATTCACAATGAAAATAAATGTAAACCATACCTTAAGGAATTTTCATTAATAAACTACATTTTAAGTGCTATTGGACACATTTTAACAAAACAAATTTTCCATTTGGTAACTATTATTTTCATCGTAAAAATCGGCATCGCGAAAATATGTGACAAATGAAAATTTGTCTGTTTCCTGCAGAAACACTTACAATTCTAGTTGTTGTTGATTTTGATTATATTTAATTAAATATTCAATGATTATTTTTAGATTGTTATTCATCCGCTATTGCAACAGGCATTGTAAAAGAAAATTTTCAAATTTGTAGTTTACCGCATAATTTACCGAGGTTTATATGTAACTTTTTGAAGACAAAGTTTATCTACTACTGTTTTTGACTTGTCCAAAATTGGTATAATGTGGGTCAATGTTTTTTAAGTTCTTTAACAAATTTCATTTTTACTATCAAACAGGTACTTGTGCTTCTGTGTGTATTAATTTATATGCAAGTAAATTTACACGGTCTGTGTGAGGTTGCGTGTAATTACTGTCAAATATGGTTTATTTAAAGAGCAATTCCGGGTGTAAGCTTTGTACACTCGCTGATAAAATAGTGGCAGGTGTCGTCAAATTATGCCTAAAAAATGTGATGTTTACATCGGCAAATTTCCGATGCATCTGCATATCAAGCGACTCCATATTATGTCACTTAAATGTGTTAATTGATGTCAATTATCGGCAGTAACTGCATGTGCGTCACCAATTCAGTTTGATTTATGCCTGGAGGCGAGGATTAACTTAATTAACATGCTCTGTATGATATAAATGTACATGTGGTCAGTAAAAAAATGCGGCGAAATCGTTTTCGCTTTGATGTTCAAACTCGGCGAAGTTCTGACACTTTAGGCGACTAAGTCGCCGAAATCGCCCAGTTGCTAGAGCCCTGATTAAGTATTTAATAAAAATGTATCATTTAAATTAGCTTACAGAATATTTCTTGAAAAACAATGTTGATATAGTTCTAAATGATTTAGTATGAACATGTATCTCACAAATATCAACAACATCCAAATATAATTCTTTCATAGTTTGTTATGACATGGTACTAAATACTGTCAATATAATTATTTATGTTATAACAAACCTATAATGGACCAACTCACTTTAAGCATATCCTAGTTTGATTATTAAAATCATTTTTGGGCATTTTGGTGAATTTAAAAACAAGAAAAGATGGGCAACACCGATTACTAAATTGAACAGAAAGTAAGGAATTTTTAATCTTTAATGCAGATTATCTTAGGACAAATCCAAAACTATCAACATCTTTTTACTTATAAAATGTATTATCATGATTTGGATGGTGTTTTATTATTTAAAAAGTTGACTCCTGAAAAGTGAGAGGTACATTTTATATTTTTATTCATGTATTTTGGTATTTGCATTTTTCATGATTTTGCAAATTTTGTAAATATTGATTATTAATTGGATGTATATTTTTAGATTTAGATTATGTAATACAAGTTATGCCATTGCTGTCATGACATTGTTATCTTATTTGTAAATGAATTGTTAAGCTTTGAAAGTAGATATAAAGTGCAATAATACACTGTTAAAATATTCACCCTTGTTTGTTTTAAAATATTCACTCTTGTTTGTTTTATTTTCTTGAAAAGTATATAAACTAAAAGTTAAACAATTAAGTCCTGCGTGCAACAAAAACAAACAAGCAAAAGTTGAACAGAAACTATGGAACTATTTTCTGTATCACTTGTCCACATTCATGCCACTTATATCTTAAATTAATTTTAGTAAGTGACCTAACGGCTAGACCAAACAAGTAAAGAAACTCTACAAAATTATTGCCCTTTAATGGTAACTAACTGGAATGGGTTTTGGCTTACATGTTGACAGCAAAAAGAAGAAATCTTAAATTGAGCTTGCCTCTTGCTGTATGCAGATTATTTATGCGTGGGTCGTTTGAACCTGGATCATCTCTAATAAACAGTGGCTCTTTGAACCACAGGAACTTGAAATTCTATCAATATTAATGATAATATCCAAAATATACAATATATATAAATAAATATTTATACTGTATAGGGGGTATATTTTGGATATTATCATTAATATTGATAGAATTTCAAGTTCCTGTGCTTTGAACCCTCAACACTTCCGTTGTATGGATGCTATTCGTTACCAAAAATCCAGCCTTGTTGAATTGTTTGTATATGTTTGTGTATATAACAAATGCTGCTGAAGAAAGCTATAGAAAATTCAAAATAGCTTTTTGAATTTATGATATAGATCTAATAATAAATCGATAGGCAAATATGAAACATATATCAAATAGGGTAAAGGGTTAAAGGGAGGTTACTATTGCACTCAAAATAAAAGTTAATTAGAGAGGCCTCTCCTGATAACATTGTTAATGGCGTAAGAGTTCAAAAGAGAGTCTACTGTTGCGCTCATAATCTAGATGGTTAGAGCGGCCTTCTCTGTAAAATTGCAAATTGGTGGGATTCAAATAGAGGTAAAATAGCGTCGGTTACAGTGATCTCCCATGGTAACATTGCAAATGGTAAAAGGGTTCAAAGGGAGGTAACTGTTGTGCTCAAAATAAAATGGGTAAGAGTGACTTCCCCTTATAAAATTGCAAATGGGGTAAGGGTTAGTGCTGCACTAAAAATCGAGACGGTAAGAGTGACTTCCCCTGATAACATTTCAAATGGTGAAACGGTTCAAAGGGAGGCTACTGTTGCAGGTAAGAGTTTTGGTTTGAGTGACGTCCCTTGATAACATTGCAAATGGGGTACGGATTCAAAGGGAGGTGGCGCTCAAAATAGAGTCGGTTAAAGTATTCTCCCGTGATAACAATGGAAATGGGGTAAGGGTTCAAAGGGGGACTGTTTCTCTCAAAAGGGAGGGTACTGTTGTGTTCAAAATCATGTGATAGTGTCTTCCCCTGATAACATTACAAATGGTAAAAGGGTACAAAGGGATGTAACTGTTGCGCTGAAAATGAATTCGGTAAGAGTGACATCCTCTGATAACATTGCAAATGGTGGTAAGGTTCAAAAGGGAAATTACTATTGTGCTAAAATCGAGTCGGTAAGAGTGACCTTCCCTGATAACATTGCATATGGTGTAACGCTTCAAATGGAAGCTACTGTTGCGCTCAAGACAGAGTCGGTAGAGTGACCTCCCCTGATAACATTGAAAATTAAGTAAGGATTCAAAGGGAGGTGGCTGTTGCGCTCAAACTAGAGTCGGTTAGAGAGACCTCTCCCAAAAACATTGCAAATGGGGTAAGGGTTCAAAAGGGAGGTTACGGTTGCACTCAATATGGAGTCGATAAGAATGACCTCCCCTGATAACATTACAAATGGTGTACGGGTTCAAAGGGATGTTAATGTTACGCTCAAAATAAACTCGGTTAGAGTTACTTCCCCCAGGTAACATTGCAAATTGTGTAAGGGTTCAAAGGGAGGTTACTGTTGCACCTAAAATAGAGTCGGTTATTGTGATCTCCCCTGATAACATTGGAAATGGCGTAAGGGCTCAAAAGGAGTTCGCTTGTTAGAAGTTTTAAAAACTTTTTAGGACAAATAAAATTCTTATTTGTTCTTTGTTTTTAGAAAAGTATATTCAGAGAAGTGTCAAAAGTCCTGTTAAGAACTTTTAGTTTTATATTTATCTTCTAGAGCTCTCTTCTTTTTTTTATTTTAGTTATGTTAATTTTATTTCTCAACTCATCAAATAATGTTGTATATTCTCAACTAATTAGGAATTTGAACGAGCTTCTAGGATAGTAATGTTTAATTTCTCGCTTATTAATGAGTAATAGATTTTTATTTAGTTGTAACTGGTAGTATCAAATAGTAGTAAGTTTGTTTTTTATCTCTCCTATATAGGAGAATCAATCTAATTAGGCTTTTATACCTTTTAATTAAAAGTGAAAAAAGTCCTTATTGGACTTTTGATTCTCCCAAAGAGAAGTGACGAAGTCGTAATTAGACTTTCAACACTCCTTATTACGATTTCTACAGATTTTAAGAATATACGGATTTTGCACAAGACTTTTCCATACAAAAACACCTTTGAAGACGTTATCATTATATTTGAAATTTTCGATCATGCGACCACATACATGCATCGAGGATTTACTTTGAGGAAAGTGACCGTGCGACTACATACACGCATTACAGTATTCCCCTTCTCTTACGAGAAAGGGACAAAGAGTTGTCCGCCCTTTTATTGAAGGGCAGACTTAAAAAGTATTCCATTGCCTTATTGCTATCGATAAGGAGGCTTATTTTCACAGATATATCTTGAATTGGTTTATATACAAAGATTATAACGCAAACCAAGCGGGTTATCAGTTATATAACGGCTTTAATAAGTCCGCTATGGTATTTTAAAAGGATAACTTCATGGACAATCTTTACTTTAAAGTTTTTTCTACTTTTCATTCTATGTATATAACAGAATTATTTTAATTTTGCAAACATGAACGTTTCAAAAACGTTTTATATTGGAGGTATATTTCACACTTTGTTTTCAAATATTAACCTGGGGGCATTTTTGCCAAAGTAATTTCCCAAGCTTGAGCCTTTGTTTGCATAAAGATTAATAACAATGCGAAAAATAGGTAAGGCAGACATATTTTCATGTGCGCAGCAGGCAGATCGTCCGTGTCAGTGTTGTTTCATGCATTAAGATGCTCGTATTATGGTTAGGTACCATAACATTTGACTGTATTTTTTTCTTATTTGACCAGTTTTGTTTGAAAAAGTTACAAATGCGATATAGAATATTTTTGTACACGGGTTGAAATGGAAATTTTTTTTATAAATAGAGGAACAAAACTGAAATAAAAAAGAAATAGAAAATAGAAATGGAAATTAAGAAGAAAAAAATATTCAAATGATATTTTCTCTGAAAGATATATAGTGAATTTGAGTTTGAATGTCTTAAAAATTTGAATATCGTCATCAACCTTTCGCCTCTATTTAAAATCGACATCCACTCATCAGCATGAATAATGCTGAAAACGAAGCAATTTGTAGGGCTTTTGTGCTATAGTAACTAGGAAAGAGTCAAACATAATTTTTCATTTTGAAATTATATTAATAAATGGTACTTTCTAGTGGCCCTCATGCTTACGAAATCGATCTACGCTTCAATATGCCTCAACATGCACATTTACCCACTCTGAATGAAAAAGAATTAACTGAACATTTTAGAGAAATTATTAATATTTTAATATTGAAAGAGAGTGCGGAAAATGGAAAAAAACAGTATCTCAGCTATGATACGACAAATTGGTAAACATTAATGTATATTTTGAATGAACAGATTTTTACTCCCCCACACACGCACGCACGTACGCACGCAAGCACACGTACTAACTTATTAGGTAACATAATCTTACTTTAAATCAATTGATTACGGTTGTTGATGTAACTCAAATTTTGAAGACATTCAAACTTAAATACCCTTTATCTTTAAAAGAAAACCATTTTTGAAGGTAAGGTGACAAAACAAATTGTTGTCGTTTACATATTGTATCTTAAAGTGATTTATTATCATGAGGAAACTAAAGTTTTCGTGACCTTTTAAAAGAAATGCCGCATCTTATCGGAAAGTGTGACTATTCTCAATCAAAATTTACTTAAAGTAAAGTTTGCACAGGGCCAGAAATTTCTTAGCATGCTTCTTTAGATGTTGACTATGAATCCATGACATTTATATTTTCGAACACAGTTGTGATATGTTAGAAATAGATAAAAACTAACCGTCCATCTACCAATATGTATATACTAGTACTTCTGTCAACGCGTTGAACGGTTGTCTACCCATTTGATTGTACGGTGTATTGTTGTCAATCTGAGAGTGTCAACTGGTGCAGGCATTCTCAACGTCATGACGAATTGCAAGTTATACATTTCTAAATACAGTTTGCAATTTTATCTAAGTTGCATGTTACCAGCTTCCATTTTGTCAAATCGAGATAATCAAAACGCTTAATACCAGTGCAGTATGTAACTCTCGGATCGACAATTATACTTTACTTATCTGTTAAGTAGAACCAAAGTATGAGTTGTCAAGTTTCAAGGCAACGAATAGACTGCATCAACCGAAACAAAACGTACACAGTTAAACGCAGTTTCTAAAAATATCAAATTTAAAAGAAATTTTATCAGTTATTTTAATTTGTAAGTTTAAGTTTCAATGAAATACATCAACCCGTTCTAAAATCAAAAACATAGGGTGTTGGAATGAACATAAATTATTGTTAAAATTCCAGCCTTAAAGATGTGTACCGTCTTCATTTTGTACACATTTTTCAATTACGTCTTCAAAATACTCCATTCGTCTTGAATAAGATCCATATTATCAAAAACAGCTTTTTTGTATTTTCATCAAGCATTTGATTCTTATATCTAAAGTTTGTTAGATTTTTATCCATTAAAATGTTTCATATAAAGTTCGTTAACTGTAATCATATAAGTATTTCATTGTATGATTGATTAAAGGCTAATAATGTCCCAGATATGCTTTTATTTTTATTCCCACAAAGCGTTTTGTTTCGGTGTCCTCTTATAGTTTCCAAAAGATTAATAATTGGCTAATAACCCGAGTCATAATTTTTATTCTGTTGTTTTCTTGGTATGAGTTCAGTTATAGTGATTTAGTATTTTGTATGGAAGTCAAAATACTACATTGTTTACATTTAAATACTTTTATTACAGATATTAGTCGTTTACATAATTTTCACATAATACCCTTTCATGCCATATTAAATGTATGAATGATATCGTGTAATGGTCAATATGTAGGACCAGACTGTTCCCTTGAATTTACCTGAACAAAAAAAAAGAAACAAGAATAAAGATCAACAAGGATAAGGCAACGTTCACAAGACGCAGCCCCAGACACACCAAAGTAGGGCACCCAGAAGGCACCAAATAAGCCGAAACTGGGAAATAATAACTATACATGACACTATACTTTCTCAAAATTATCACTTTATCATCGACCTTGTGTTGATCTGAGTACATGTATTGATAAATACTTTGCGACTGCACACATGTTCAAATTTTGAAACGCTCACTTGGAAAATTGAAATAAATTGCAAAGGTTAAATGACCTTTGCTTTCCGCGATGGGAGAAATAGGATAAGATTTTGCTTTAAGTCATACTGTCTTGTTTATCTTGAATGGTTTTCTATACTCTGTTACTTGGTCCAATATTTGTGGAAGGGACCGACATTATGGTGTCTTGGTATGTATGGCTACGTAAGAATCATTATCATTTAAGACAGGCGATTGTAGCACGTTTCTTTTATTTTTATTTGAAAATCCAGGTAACTCCGTGATATATTTCACACTTCTTGTCTTTCAAGTAGGTAAAGAATGATTTAGTGTATTAGACTGAGATGTATTATTCGCATACCCTGTATTGCTTTGCTTGCGGTACTTGAGGCAGTCCTTATTACATAAGTGTTTTATCAGAGGTTACAAAATTTCTTTACACTCGAGCTTAAATATATAATTATTATAATAAAGCAGCCATGTCTTGAATATAACGGCCCTTCATAGTCATTGGGAGCTTCCCGTCATTTTCTGGTTAGTTGTCTGTTTGGCTGGCAATGCTCCCACTTGTTATTTTACTTTAAAAAAAGGCAGATTATCATCAGTGTTCTATTATTATACAGAGGTTTGTTAGAATTGTCCGTTGTATCCAACAATATTCCCAGTTGGCCTCACGCATTTAAAACTTCTAAAACGTGCAGATATTAATCAAATTCGTTCAACAGATACCCGTTGGAAGCACGTAAAATCATTCATGAATTATAATTATATACATATAATTATGTGGAACAACTTTCTAGTGAAACTTCTAAATTAGGAGAACACACCAATGATTAAAGTCAAGATCAGCTTCAAATGCTGTTTAAATACGCTTTAACACCGCTAATACTTCTCATTAAATGAACATGAAAATACTTTTTTTCAATTTCACCGATAAGGAAATTAAAATAAAGAAAATAGCAAACTTCGTGTAAATTGAATTTTATTATTGTATCAATAAAACATAAATATCAATTTTTTTTTTTTTCTGTTTAAAAGTTAATTACTACAGAAAGTATATATTGACTTTAAGAAAGCTGATTAAAACGTATCACTATAATACTCATCATAATATCATTGTTATACTCATCATACAACCTATACATGTATTGATAATGTTAATGTACATATGCCTTACACTGTATGTGAAACCAATACGCATGTATCATATCGGCAAATGCATGATAAGGCTGATGCGGTTTCAATTTAAGAAATTGAAATTATATACTCTCCAAATGCACACTCAATATGTACAAGTAAAATAAATTTATTGTACTTGTTTAAAAGCAAATAAATATTTCATATGAATAGCCAATTTGAATATGAATAAGAATATGGTTTTAGTCAAAGCAAGACTCAAAAGTTATCAGATATTAAGACAATGCAGTTCAAATATATTATACAAATGATACAAAATTTTCTTGGAATATTCAACAGTTACGACCATGAAGATTACGGTACCCCTCGAGTTATAAAGATATGCTGGACTTTTCAATATTTTTGTTCCAGGTAAATGTATATACTGCTCCTTAAAGTATTCTCATATAAAGCTTTTATCTGCTGCCTGTAAGTTTGAAATTTGAAAAATAATGATTCCAAAATACTTGTATGAAAGAAATATGTTTGTTTGGTTTTTAAAAGCCAATAGCGTATACACGAAACACCTTAGACGAAATCGTTCCTAAATTGTTTAAACCATATTAAAATAGCAGAATAATATTTCGTTCCAGAACTTATAATCCTGTTTACTAACAATAATCACGTGAATTAAGTAACAGAGACATTTTGTATACAACTCTATTAACACTATCCAAACAATATAGTTCTACTGTTTATAAACTTTATAGAAATATATCATTATTATAGCTATAAGGCATTTATCCTTTAAATCTCCCTGTTAATATTATTGGGTAAGTTTTATTCCTTGCCCTTGTAAATGAACTTTCAGTTGTGTAAAGTCGTAACTGAGCTCTTGAAATTAGGCATATACCTCTCTGTTGTCTTATCTAAACTTATGTTTAGAGCAACTATGCTAAGAAACAATCATTAATAGCAGGAAGATTTTTCCATTTGTCCGGGTAGGTCGGTTACAAATATTTTTCTGTCGAAATCTGACCAAAATAAAACTGAATGTAACTATGTCTCTGATCCATTTTCTTCATCATCACTGTCATCAGAACCATCCTCACCGATATCCTCCAGATATTCCTTACCAAGCTTGAGAATGTCTTTGAAAGCCGCTAAATCAAAACAGGATATCAGTTTATTTCTTCTCAATAGTTATAGGGTTTTGAAAAAAAGCTCTTGAAAATCAATTACACATGTTACAAGCAAAACAAAATAGCATGTTACAAAATTACTAAAACCAATAGCTCAATATGTCTTATTTTACGTTATAATATAACTAAATCAAACTTACATAAAAGTAAAGCGTCAGATTCTGGTACCAATGTATCTTCATGTATATAGTTTATCACTGGAAACATTTTACTTTGTTTAAACTTGAACATGTCTATCAGTTTGTCTTTGTTTTCTTTTAAAGTTTTGTTTTCAAATACGTGAAGTTTGCATTCGTCAACCACGTCACTGAGTAAATCTCCTTTTGTCAAAATGACAATGTAAGGAATATCTGAAAGAAAATAAAGTCAGAAATTATGCGACGGACAAGTTTACAAACAGAGAGAAGTTAGTTCGTGCCGTCAGATCAGACTCGAAACCATTGGTACTCTGAAATTGAAATTCCATAAACTCTGAACAGACTGTTCCAAATTTAATGTTGAGCAAATTCATTACACATCTTTAGCAGGTTAAAGATCAAATAAGTTCAGTTGAATTAAACGGCGATAAAAATGATATTTTCTGTGTATATCATGAATTATATTACCTTTGTCAAGCAGCCATGCTTGTAGAGATTTAAATATCTTTTGCATTTTTTCTGAGAGCTCGTCAGCAGGTGTAGATATATCAAACACAAAACAAACACAATGTACTTTGTCCTTTTTGAGTGGTCGGGGCTTAAACCTTTTGGAATCCCTCTTCATGCCTTGTATAATCTAGAATTTACAATGAATAGAAAGAGAGGATACAGAATTTTTTCTTCTTGTCTGCAGAAGAAAAAGAAATACATACGAGGGACGGTCAGAAAATATCCGGACTCGTTCTCGAAAACCATTCAACATTGAAAAAAAATCTTTCTACTCTTTTTCAAAATATTCTCCACCTACGTCTACGCACTTTTGCCATCTTCGTGGGAGCTTTTGTATTCAAGCTTTGAACCATGACGTAGACCTATGTTTTAGGTACTGTGTAACAACAGATATCAAAGCCGCCCTGGTCTGATATTTCTTTCCAGCAAGCAATTTTTTCAGTTCTGGAAACAAATAAAAGTCACAGGGGGCGAGGTCTATTGCCATTTGTAAGAGTTGATAACCTCCACTGTAGCTGCGGCGGTATGGGAGGGGGCGTTATCGTGAAGAAGGAGGACACTTTTCTGTACTAACCTGGGACGCATTTGCTTCAGCTTTTCTCTGAGATATTTCAGAATTACAGTTTGACCTTTTGGCGTGAAATGAGTAAGTATCATTCCTCGTGAATCCCAAAAGGCAACAAGCATGACTTTGCCAGCCGAAGGAGACAGCTTTAACTTTTTAGGAGGTGGGTCGTTTCCACTGCTTTAACTGAGCTTTTGTCTCAGGTTGGGAATAATGAACCCACATCTCATCTCCAGTGATAATGCGGTTCAAAACCTTATCTCCTTCACGATTGAAACGACTTAGATGTTCTTTTGCATTGGCTACTCTGGTTGCATTTTGATCTGCGGACAGCTGTCTAGGCACCCACCTGGCCCTTACCTTGCTCATGCCTAGGTGTTCGTGTAAAATCTTGTGTGCCGATGCCTTACCGATGCTAAACTTGTTGGCTACCTCCTCCAAAGTTACTCGACGATTTTTGTTGACAAAAGCTTTAAAATTTGCTACCATTGTTGGGGTCACCGCCTCAGCTGACCGCCCAGTCCTAGGCCTGTCACAAACACTTGTTCTGCCTTCACGAAACTGAGAAACTCAGTTGTAGAAGGTTGAACGTGAAACACATTAAAATTTTTTATCAAAAAATCGTTTTTAAGCCTCTGAAAGATGTGGCAGGGCTTTTCACCTTCTGTAACCACAAACTTTATTACAGATCGTTGTTCCTCTAACAAAGAGTCCATGATAGACGAAACACCTATCATATATCAGAGGGCAAAATACTATGTATACACAACTATCATTGAAAATAAACTGACCACGTTATTGGCGAATGAATGTAGTTTTCACCAATATATAATGTGTGTATATAGCTGCAATCGGAAAGAGAGGAGCATGAAAAGTCCGGCTATTTTCTGACCGTCCCTCGTATATCTGAATTTTTGGTGAATTATTTCCTTCACATAACTATAAAATTACATAACTTACATTTTTTTAAGCAAAAGTGAAACTTTTTATACATGTTTATTTAATTATCTCTTTGATATAAGAGGTGCAGATATATTCACCTTATATTTTATTGGCACATGTCCAAGAATGACATTTTTGACATCGTTCAACTGTATGCCTTCAGATTCTTGAAAACCTGGTATATCTCCAATAAACACATTGCTATCAATTATCTCTTCAGACTCGTGCTTGTATTTCATTTGATGCATTTTATACTGAAAAAGAGAACAATCAAATTGTAACCTTTGTTAAAATGTTTTGACGCGTGCATGCAAACAAGATATTTATGTGAAACAGTACAGAAGATTATTATTATGCACTCTCTTTTCCAAATTATTTGCACTGGATACTTACCCTCTCAGTTGTAGCTACGAAATGTCCATCCTTTGGTTTTCTACCAGTTGCATAGCCTCCCGTTGCTTTAGAATATATTTCATCTCTCAACACAGATGAAATCGAATCGATGAAGCTTGTTTTCCCACTATACACGGGTCCCACACAAAGAACACGTAGAACATTGTCGCCGAGTTCTTCAAGTTCAGCCCTAATCTTCATTAGCTCGATTTCTTTCTCGTTGGAATGCCTCTGTAAAAGTATAAAATAACGATACAAATATGTGCTTCGACTGAATAAGAAATAAAACAAGAACGTGTTTGTTAAAAACAAATGCCCCCGGCTCCGATTCTTGTCAGAGGCAATATTTCAAAAAATGTTTACCCATTCACTCAGTTATGGACAGAAACATTGCCAAAAATTGTAAACACAACTTTATTAAATATATATAAATGTAAGAAATCTATACTGGGCATTGAACTTGACCCACTGACACCTATATAATATCATGCAAGCTATCTTCCTACCAAATATGAAATACACCTGTCAATAAATAAAGGCTGTTTGGGCAAAAATGTTAAAATCTTTTTTGAGCATTGATGACCTTGATCAAACTGACCCCTAACTCCATCCAAGGCAAGAATAACTTGCAAGTTAGCTTCCAACCAAATATGAAATAAATCTGTCAATAAATAAAGGTTATATGAGCAAAAGTGTAAAAATCTATTTTTAGCATTTGTGACCTTGACCCAACTGACCCCTAACTCCATCCAAAGTAAGAATAACATGCAAGTTATCTTCCTACCAAATATGAAATATATCTGTCAATAACTGAAGGCTGTATGGGCAAAAGTGTAAAAATCTATTTTTAGCATAAGTGACCATGACACACTGATCCCTGACTCAATCAAAAAGAAGAATACCATGCAAGTTATCTTCCTATCAACTATGAAATACACCTGTCAATAAATAAAGCCTGTATGGGCAAAATTGTAAAAATCTATTTTTAGCACAAGTGACCTTGACCCACTGATTCATACCCCAATCAAAAGGATGAATACCATGCAAGTTATCTTCCTACAAAATATGAAATATATCTGTCAATAAATAAAGGCTGTATGAGCAAAAGGGTAACAATCTATTTTTAGCACAAGTGAATTTGACCAAACTGACCACTAACTCCATCAAATTTTATGTTCCTATCAATTATAAATGACATCTGTCTATAGAATATGGTTAATTCACCTATAAACATGTAAAAATCTATTTTTAACATTGGTGACCTTGACATTGGTGACATTGACCTTGACCCAAATGACCCCTTACTATACCCAAAGAAAGGAACCTCCCTTGGCATGTTTGTATTAAACATTAAAGACATCAACCGAAAAATAAAGGCTGTAAAAATGTTTAAATTTATTTTCTAAACCAGTGACCTTGACCTTGACCCAAGAGACCGCTTACTCCACAAAAAATTAGAGGACCATTTAAGGTGTCCACCTGCCAAATATGCAAGATATCATTAAATAAATTAAGCAATTAAGATAAATTTACGATAAATCCAACTTGCCGGAATAGGTTAACCAGACAAGGCCCTATTTTTAATGTGAAAAAAGGGAAATAACTGGAAAATATGGATGATGCAGTTATATAACTTGGCAATATCATGAACTTTGTTTTGATAAGTAAGTGTGGAACTTATGAGGCCATTAGTATAGATAGAACTTAAGATATTTCCAACTTGCCGTTTTAGGTTAACCATTATTTATTTTCTAAGTGCTGAAAAGGACAATAACTTGGTAAATATGGAAGCCATAGTTATGAAACTTGACCATATCATGTACTTTGTATTGATTAGTAAGTGTGTAAACTAAAAAGCCATTGGTACAGGTAGAACTTAAGAAAAAATCCAACTTGCCGTTCTAGGTTAACCTCGTACGGACGGACGGACAGACGAACGGACGGACGGTTCAATGACTATATGCCCGGGGGCAAAACAGTATATTATATAATAAACTTGTATATGATTTAAGTGATCATTATTGTCATTGAATCTAATTAATTGAAATCAATAAAATTATTACGTCAATATCACGATTATAAAGTTTTGAGAAGTTGTCAAATGATCTTTTAATCGAGAGGCAGGAAATATTAAAGTAAAGAAAGATGTTTTTACGTGTTTCAAATGACAAAAGTCTTTGATTAACAATCTCAATTTTAGGGTAACGTTATTCTGAAATACAGACAAGGTATTGCTCTTACCGGTATATGTAACTTGCTTGCACGTTCTGACCACCTGTCAAGTTTTGAGGCCATCTCTACAAACGGCATTTGTAATAAAATGAATAGTAAACAAGAATCAGTGTTTGATAAACAGAAATTCCCCCGCGCTTACTATTGTCAATAATTTAACTTTAGAGAGTGAAGTAGCTAATTTGTATGGAAGAAAACCAATCATGTGTAGAAATCTATAACTGGCACCCTTGACCTTGACCAACTGACCCCTACCTCTATTAAAAGGAAGAATTTCATGCAAGTTATTTTCCTACCAAATATGAAATAAATCTGTCAATAGATAAAGGCTGTATGGCCAAAAGTGTAAAAATCTTTTTTTAAACACTGGTGACCTTGACCCAACTGACCCCTAACTCCATCCAAAGGTAGAATATCATGCAATTTATTTCCTTACTAAATATGAAATAAATCTGTCAATATATAAAGGCTGTATGGACAAAAGTGTAAAAATCTATTTTCAGCACTGTTGACCTTGACCCAACTGACCCTAACTCAATCCAAAGGAAGAATACAATGTAAGTTATCTTCCTACCAATTATAATACAAATCTGTCAGTAAATAAAGGCTGTATGAGCAAAAGTGTAAAAATCTATTTTAAGCACTGGTGACCTTGACCCAACTGACCCCAACCTTCATCCAAATGAGAATACCTCAATTTTATGTTCCTACAAAATAAACAAGACATCTGTCGAAAGAATAAGGTTAATACATCTGTAAAAGTGTAAAAAATCTATTTTTGACATTGGTGACCTTGACCTAAATGACCCCTTACTAAAGGAAAAGGAAGAGGACTTCCCTTGGTATGACTATTATAAACATGAAAGACATTAACTTTAAAATAAAGGCTGTATGAGAAGAAATGTTTAGATTTATTATTACAAGTGATCTTGACCTAGAGACGCCTAACGCCACAAAAAATTAAAGGACCGTTAAAGGTATCCACCTACCAAATATGAAAGATATCATTAAATAAATTAAGAAATTATGTGAATTTTTTTGATAAATCCAACTTGCCAGAATAGGTTAACCATACAAGGCCCTATTTTCTAAGTGATAAAAAGGGAAATTACTGGGAAAATGGATGGCACATTTATATAACTTGGCAATATAATGTACATTGTATTGATAAGTAAGTGTGAAAATTATTAAGCCATTAGTTTAGATAGAACATAAGATATTTCCAACTTGCCGGTTTAGGTTAACCATTATTCATTTTCTAAGTGCTGAAAAGGGCCATAACTTGGTAAATATGGAAGCCATAGTTATGAAACTTGCCCAGATCAAATACTTTGTATGGATTAGTAAGTGTGTAAATTATGAAGCCATTGGTACAGGTAGAACTTAAGAAAAAATCCAACTTGCCGTAGGTCAACCTCGTACGGACAGACGGACGGACGGACAGACGGACGGACTGTTCAATTACTATATGCACAGGGGCATAAAAAGAATAGAAAATACTACAAGGTTGTAACTTATTGTTGAATACAATACTGAATTCTGAATTTTGTTGGACGACTACTAAGCTGTAAAACCTAAACTGGACAAGGCGCTAAATTTGTTACGAATGAATACATATTTTAGTAAGACATTTATATAATAAAAGGGTTAAATACCAAGAATGCTTGCTTTGTTTTCTTACTTCATAGTCTCATAAATTCATACAATTCCTCTTTAATCACTCATTAGTGATAAAAGATTGTTTATAACTGATACATATACCTTTGTGGTTTTCGAGGTAATCTCTAGTAAGCTCAACCATAGTATTCAATGCCTGTAGCGCTAGTCTATCTTTGCCGTCTTTTGTAGTTTCGTCATTAACGTAGTTCACAATTGGAAATATGTGTTTTTCTTGTATACCAAAGAAATGTGAAACTGTTTTCGTTGCATCGCGAGCTTTTGGACTTTTGTAGACTCTGTTAGCATCCTCGGATATTTTCTGACAAAGGTCGTCAAATTTGGTTGCAACAACAACCATTGGTAAACCTAAAAACACACAAACATAATTTACGTAATGTATATATAGTATATATCCTTACACATAATACATAAGAGCTAATGCATGTAATGTCAAGTGATAAAGGGGAACCTTTACAGGATGTGGTTTATTCAATAAATATGAATGTCACGTTTTTTGAATTATTTTTGTTATAAACAAGCAAAGTGCTCGTTAAGCTATATACATTGTACAGTCTATGATTTGTTTTCTAATTGTTCTTTTTGTCCTATCAGTGCTAATAGAATCGATTTGGTATTTCACATATTCTATTCAAAATAACCCATAAAAACTCCAAAACATTAAAATTATTTCATATTGATATAAATAACTGATTCTCAAATTGACCCTTTACATACCTTTACTAATAAACTATTTGCCCATGATCGTTCTTACACTAATACCAAAGATTATTTAAAAGATGCTACGGTTATTTTTTAAATGGACAATGCCCACATGGAATCTTATATAACAAACATGTGTCATATGGTGTACTATGTACAAACTACAAGTAGATTAAGTCTATCCTATTTTGGTGCTTATTACTCATAGCAAAAGATACAATTATTCTAGCTAATTTTGAATTTAAAAAAATCCAAAAGTCTAAAACATAAAATTTGAAATTTTTACACAGATCAATTGAAGCACTTAAAACGGAAAGATATGGTAACGATGTTAAAAAATATACTCCGAACTGAATAAAAAGTCTAATTTTTGAGCGTCAATAAGCCCAAAGTGTTTTAACTTTTTTCTTTTTTTTCCTTTTTGGAATATTTTTCACATTTAAAACTAGAACTATCGCTGAATGCGATTCATACCCACACCAATGTCCATGACAGAAGACGACTTGGAAAGGTGGTTAAGGGAATAACTTTAGTGTCACAAATACATATACATAACAAGAAATTATCTCTGGTGAAAAAAAAGACAAATTGTACAGGTAATAGTATAAATATGTATATTGTCACATCATGTTCGAAACAGTTACAAATAACCTTTCATTTTCCCAATGTACTAAAACAAACAAAAGCAGTGAAGTTAAGAAAATAGCATAATTATGTCAAAATGTAATTAAGAGTGGAAAAACTTTGCATACTGAGCTTACTTGTGACCCTATAGTTTCAAGTGAATATATGCTCTAGTTTCAGAAACATTTAAGAATTAGTTGTTATATCAGAACATTTTCTAAGCCTAAAAGGGGCATAGCTTGTATTATACTTCAATGGAATTATAGAATTATTGTCATTTGAGCTTGCTTGTTACCATTCATATAACTTTTAAGTATTAAGCTAATATCTGTTTTGGTTTAAGAAATATTATAGTTAATATATTTAAAGACATAAAAATGGACTTAACTTTGTCATAATACAATACAAAGTTATCCCCCACTTTTTTTTGGCTATGAAACCTGACCTGCATCTCTTACTTGCGACACTTCGTATATATTTGAAGTTTTAAATGATTATCTGTTCTAGTTTTAGAAATATTTAAGTACATGTTAAAATTTCAGAACATTTTCTAAGTCAATTTTTGACCTTCAAGTGTGGCCTTGACCTTAAGCTGGCACAAGGGTAAGATGGGTTCTGCACATTGCCTAGTTTGGGTGAACATTTGAGCAAAGTTTGAAGAAAATCCTTCCATTAGTATAGACTTTATAGAGAAGACACGACATATTGTCTAGCATTGATTGTATGTAAATTTAAAGACTAAAAAAAGGGCATTACTTTGTCGAAATGCAATACAGAGTTATGAAACTTGACCTGCATATCTTAATTGTGACACTACATATATATTTTAAGTTTCAAGCAAATACCTTTTCTAGTTTCAGAAATATTCAAATACATGTTAAAATCTAAGAATATTTTCTAAGACAATTGTTGACCTTCAAGTGTGACCTTGACCTTAAGCCGACAAAAGGGCAACATAGGTTTTACACGTTTCCTTGTGGAGGTGAACATTTGAGCCAAATTGAAGAAAATCTTTCAATTAGTGTAGGACTTATACAGCGGACACGACATACTGTCTAATATTTGACTGTTTGATATTTGACCTCCAATTGTAACCTTGACCTTAAGCTGACACATTGTCAACATGGGTTCTGCTGCACATCCCCTTGTTGAGGTGAACATTAGAGCCAAGTTTGAAGAAAATCCTTCAATTTGTATAGGATTTATAGAGCGGACACGATAATGGAGACGGACGGACGGGGCAATGCGAATCTATTATGCCCCCCACATTTTGTGGCGGGGCTATAATAATTACTCGGGAAAAATGTTAGAATGCGAATGATTTGAAAGTTTGCACACAAGTTTCCGTCTTTTATCAATTCGTAATGAGATCTTGAGCATTTATTTCCTGTTATATAACATGTCCGTTGAAGCACAAGATAAAAGTAAACGTGATAAGACTATAAAAGATACAAATATAAATAGTTCTCAAATGTTCTAGGTATAAAAACAGCAAGTATAGTAATACGGATAGCTATGGTATAATTTTACCTTTCGTGTTGATAGATTTTTGTATACTTAGTATACGTTTATGTAGATCGTCCGTGATAGTGTCTAAATTTGAAGTCCCGGTAACAAAGCACACCAAATGTATTTCATCTTTCAAACTTGCTTTTACAAAGTCACCTTGTTGAATAGGCCCTGGTTGATCTGGAAACTGCAAACATGATAAGAAACCGTATTTAATATGATGTGAAAGAAGTAAAGCTATAAAAAAAAACTAATTCCTAAGCAATCTTTATTGCCTCAATTAGAGTGTGTATGGATATGTACACATCTTTTCTGCAATCAAATGACTGCATACAATATAGATAGGCTGTGCTGAATTAATTTATTGAAAAAACAAAAACTGGCCTCTTTATTGGAAAGGGCAATAGGTTAATAGTGTAGTGCCAATATCTATACTTAGCATTATACATTTTGCACTGATAACGCATTGCAGCAAATTGCATTTAATTGTGCAAAAAAAAAAAAAAAAAAAAAAAATATATATTGCAATTCGATGTCCTATATTGTACTACCATTCTGCCACATTGTACACAATGCTTCACGAAACCTTTTTTGAAACTATTGTACATAGAATAAAGCTCTATTGTTGTTCAAACTACAAATAATACAATGTTTGAATAGCGCATTCTCCAGTTGTTCATTGTTCCAAAACTCAGTTAACATGATTAACTTCAATGACAAATAAACCTACCGAAAAAAAACAAAACCGAAACTTATATTAAAACTTGAACAGGACTTATTAATGACAAAATTGATTTAACAATGTTTTAATTGAGAGTTTTGAACAAATGGGATATTATGCCTTATATGATTGTCATATAAACTTACACTAAATCCAATTGGTAATCTACCGTTCAGAAGTAGGTCAAACTCGTGCTCATATCCCCTTTCAGCTTCAAAACCTCTGATATCAAATATTCGGAGATTTAAAGGCTTTCCACTCTTTGATTTCAGCTCATATGCGTGGATCTTAAATGCAGCAAAAATTCAAACTAGCTAATTAGTTATTGAAAAAGATAATCTGCAAAACTACGAGTAAAACGTTAATAAAAAAAATGAAAAAAAATCTGCTTTAATGAAAGAATTGTACTATTGCATAATACCCTCTTCTTAGCACTAAATGAAGGTATTACTGTCGTTAACTAATTCAAAGAGTCAGAAAATTTATATTTCCAAGTTAAAAGATGAAATGATGTAATAAAAATCTCTCTTAGATTTTTGTTTGCATAACAAATTTATGGGTTGTTTGGGAAAAGGAAATACGTTAAAAAATCTCACTTCGTTTGTTACACTTGTTGGCGCATCCCTTGCTGGTGCGTGAGACTTCACAGCACCCATAAAAACGGTTGCCAGGGTATTATAGAAGCTTGATTTTCCAGACCCGATGACACCCACAAGTAGTATGTTATATGTTTTGATACCAAGGCCTGGCAATGGTTCCATTTTCTCTAGTTTCTTCTTTATTTCTTCCATTTCAGTATCCTATGTAAATCATATATTATTGTAGCAAACCAAGCATCTTGTTTCGGCATAAATCAGTAAACAAAATTGACATGTACTTTTTCAAAAAATTCTTACATTTAATATGTGAAATTATGACAAAAAGAAGAGTAAATTTCCACACTGTATTATTCATTACCGAAAAGAATCAATTCATAAATTTTACTATTTCTCTTCAATACTTTAAATGAATACATAATGTCACTTTTTCTCTTCAATACTTTAAATGAATACATAATAATAATAATAATAATAATAAATAAATAAAATAAAGGTAAAAGTATCAATGAAACCTGATTAGTTATAAATAATAATAATAATAATAATAATAATAATAATAATAATAATAATAATAATTATTATTATAATAATAACAATATAAATAATAATAATAATAATACTATGAAATTTATAATAGAAATAATTCTAAAACATACTGATGGTTTAGTCCTCCATGGTTCTTGAAGCTGGTCGTCTGAAGCATTCAAATATTAAAGAAGTTATTTTTGAACGAATTCAGAATTGCTGTCTTAACATTCGGTATCTGATATTGTCGTCGGATCACGACAGCACGCCACATTGACTTTACCAGAGCACAATTCAGCCACAGCATCGTTCCTGGGCAGGCTGTCAAGCAGTTTACCAGTACAAGCTGCCTTCATTTTCGCAAGGAACTGATAATTTTCTGTACATGCCAAAGCAGAGGTACAGTGCGACCGACCGTAGAAAGAATTTTCATGATCAAACACAACAATTTAAATGTTTTATTAGAGTGAAGATTAAGAAAATATACAATATGTCTAAATATTCTAAAACACATGTAAATCTCACTCTGATACATAAGGTGATTGATTTGTAAATATGCCCATATCAAACATGAAAAACAATTATACAATACAGTCGACTCTCGTTATCTCGAAGTCATTGGGACCGTCCAAAAAATATCGAGATAACGAAATGTCGAGATAAACATATTAAGGTTAGAACAAAGCGAAACTGATTTTTACAAAAGACATGTGCATACTTTATGTCAAATAAACTATAATATCCCTATGTCTTGTTTTCGTAGGCCTAGTCAATATTTGACAAAGTAACATTAGCGGATGTTTACCAGCGGAAATACGGGTGTCTGTGATAAAAACACATAGTGAGGTTTACTCAGTAATACACCAATATAGTGAATCGGATATCGGATATGGTTGATTCGGATATCCTCCCGGATTATTTATCGGGTCTTTCTCGAGATTGTTCGACCGCTGATTGATTTGGTGGTGATGTTGTGAAACAATATTGCAACGATAGCGTTTCTATACTTTCACTATTTCATTTACATTTAAAGTCATAATGAATTGATACAGTGTTCGAATATTTAAAAAGAATGTAAAATTCAGTCATTTTGGACATAAGTCAATCAACACGCTAAATAGATTAACTTTTATTAAAACAGCTAAACTTGTTACAAACATAATTGTCATTATGACACGCGCAATTAATTGAGCAATTATCGTCTAGATTGTGTTTTTCACACGTCTGTAGGGAACAGACGAAAGAAAACTATAAGTCGAGATAAACAAAGGATAATAGTGTGAAAATAACTGTTGGGCTGAAATTTTACATCGAGATACTGAAAATATCGAAATAGAAATATCGAGATAAACAAATATTTCCAATATAGATTAAGAAGGAAGAAAATCGGGACTTTCAAAATTTCATCGAGATAACGAAATATCGAGAAAAGCGATGTCGAGATAACGATAGTTGACTGTACATATTGAAGAAACAATTCAATAACCTTGAAGTTGTTACCTCGCAGCATGTATCTATATATGAATGCACGAAGGACATGTATTGTTAGATGAACACTAAAATATAAGCAAGCAAATCAGCGACGGCAATTACACTTGCATATATAAATCTTACTTTAATATTGATCTCTACAACTATTATCATAACCATTGCCTTCTTACATTACTTTTGACACAAAACAAATACTCAAAAATAGATAAACATCAGATATATATCCAGATCTGAAGAACTTTCGACAATCACTTCAAATTAGATAAAGCCCTGACTGGTATTTGTTTTGAGATAGTCACATACTTGCGCTTGCCCAACATGTCAACAAAACTATCACAAGCGAAGTACGTCTAAACTAAAGTCAGGGAAAAAACTGTACCAATTTAAAATGATTATAAATCATCAAAATGATCAGGGAAACTAAATTATGAATATTTCTTACCTACAACTTGATAAACCTCTATCCGTTTAACAACTAACGCCCCAGCGTTTATGTCTTTCTGGTGTGGAGTTCCTATTGTGCAATTCTCCCTAAAACTATCTTCAAATCTCGCCTCCCTTCTCGTTGCCGAAGCCCCTCTCCTTGGCATTTGGTTATCTTCTAAGCCATACGCGCGGCCGAAATTCACAGTTCCGTTAAGTTTCATATAGGAGCCTGATTCTCTTTCACTTTCTGACTTTCTATTGTCCTTCTTGAACGTTTGAAGGTCATAAGCCTCCCAGAAAAAGACACCCCCTCCGAAAGTTGGTCCGAAGTTTGCATCACATGTTATTGCCCTATCAACATATTTTTCTTTAATTGGTAGGAAAGTACACGTAGCCTCCGCATGATCATTCTTGTAAAACAAGAAGGCGTTTTCATCTCGTTTGGTTCTCTGTTTGTCTGAGCACCACTCTTGGCTTGTGTAGCCGCCAAATATGGTGTTGTATTTTCCATAAAGAACGGTTAGTGTTGGTCCTTTACCATCACACTTGGTATGGAAATCATCAACATAAACCTTATCAACGGAACTGTAGAGTAAATTAAATGACTTCTGGTTATCGCCAACACTGACTTTCCTCTCAATGTCTCTCAGAATATTGGAAGCGTCGTCCATAATCTAAATTATCTGCAAAACATACATGCCAAAAAACATAAAAAACCCAAAACCATTAATGGCTTTAAAGTAACCTTATTGAAAAAGTTCTTTTTAATAAAAAATGTTTAAACACATTTAAAATGATTAAACAAGTATCTTATCATTTTGGATATGCCATTTCTAAGGACCATCAAGATTATCTTGCCCATTTCTTATAGACACATGGTAAGCCTTTTCTTGGTCTACTTTTTTGTTAACATTTGTGCGTACGTCATTTAAAGGAAGCTTAGACCCGAAATAGGGTTTTATAAATTTATGTAATTCCAATAAAATCATATACACAACGCTTTCGTGATAAGCTGTAACTCCTATTTTCAGTTTGGTTTGAGAAAAGCAAATTATTTATATGAAGCGTGTGGATATAGATAAATACTTTTTTCTCAAAGTATTGCTTCAATTTTCAATTTAAGATATTATTGATGTATAATAGTAAACGGGATCAATTTACATAATCTTGAGTCTAAGGAATGAAATTTTAAGTAATCTTTTTTTATTGTGTCCATCATTAAAAGTATGAAATAGTAGAAAATGCAATGAACTGTTCAAAAAGAAGGCGAAAAATCCCATGCGACAGCAATTGTCATAAAACCAAGTTTTCCAACAATAAAAATAGGTTATAATCCTTTCAAAAATGTGTGAGGCCCTGGGCAAAGAAAAATATAGTGGAGACCAGGATAATTTTTGCTTATATCTATTCTGGCATAATATGTCAGGAAAGTACACACTTTTGATATGATATTTAAGAACACCCTTCAGTTGATTTAAACACTATAACAAAATTAAACGAATCAAGTAAATACCATATATTTAAAGACATTCATACCTTTATAGTAAATCAAAATACACTCAGACAAATTTGTAAAATCCAGTCTATATCGTTTGATTCTGGTAAAAATCAGCAATGCACAAGTTTGAAAATTTGCATGTGTATTTTCAATGTCATTCATGAAAACATCGTGTTTTTACAGCGAAGTGTATTTTCCAGGAACTTAAGTCCCAATTATATTAGCACGTGCATTTCATGCACAAAATGGTAGTAAGTTATTTTCAATGTAAAATTGATCTAACTAAAAAAATCATACAATATGACTAGGATGAATGTTCAAGATCGTGGACGGGCCATTGGTATGATACAAGCTGGTTCATCTATCCGACAGGTACGTCACTTAATGTATAAAATACACAGTTGAGCGCATTGGATCGGTATTTGATCAATATGAAATATAATAATTTACAATAATACAACTTTTTATGACCCGAAGGCAGGCAAATATTTTTTTTAACTGTCTCTCTGTCCGTCGGTCCATCAATCAGTCCGAAAACCTTAACATTGACCATATGTAACTATTTAAACAATGTATTCCCTTCTCTATTATTAAAAATATATTTTGTTGCTCAAGGTTTACGCTCTTCTTTCATGAATTTTAAAATGTATTTCACTTCAATGATTTCAGGTTGCCCGTATTTTCAATCGAGCACATTCCACCATTCGACAGCTTTTGTTGAAGTTCAGGTTAACTGGTAGTGTTGTTGATATACAACGACGTCCGAAGAGAAGAGTAACAATACAGCAACTTGATCGTTTCATTGTTCTCAGTCACTTACGGGATCGTTTCATGCCGATAACAAAAACAGCAAGGAGGCAATTACTTGGCATACATTATCGTCCTATTCAGTTAGAAATCGTCTTAAAGCTTTACGAACGCATCGCCCAAGGAAAGTCCCAACTCTTACTGCAAGACATGGGCTAGATTGGATTGGACAAGACGACATTTGAGGTTCACAAGTGCTGACTGGACCAACATCTTGTTCGTTGATAAGACCAGAATTATACTTCGCGGACCCGATGAACGTGATCGTGTGTATAGGCGACGAGGGGATCGAAACACTGAGGCATTCTTATTTCAGGCTGATCGGTTCGAAGGTGGCTCTATAATGATGTGGGCTGGTGTATCTATGCACACGAAGACTCCAATCATCCCTATTCAAGGCAATCTAAATGCAAGGAGATGAAAAAACAGACATCATCCAGCCAATTCTTATTCCACATGTTCGCGCGAATCGTGGAATGATTTTAGCCCAGGATAATGTACCCTGTCACGTTGCTAGAGGTACCGAAGCTACGTTTGCTGCCAATAATGTACGGATTCCCAATGGCCTGCAAGAAGTCCGGATTCAAATCCTATCGAAAATATTTGGGAACTTGTAAAGAGACGAGTAAGAGCCTGGAAACAACAGTTAAATATTGCCGACCTAACGAGGGATTTTATCCAGGTATGGGCTGCGATTCGCCAGCAGTATCTTTAAAGATACATTATATCAATGATGTAAAGGTGTCGTGCCGGAGAACACACAAACCTATTGAATGTCAAGCTGAATCTGATAAAAGACAATGTTATTTTTCTCTCTAAGGGGCGTTTCGTTTCTTTAAATGTCTCTGATTTAAACATGTATTTATGTCTGAAATTTTCATTTGATATTTGGAATAAATATTCTATCATATCATGGAATAAAATAATAAATCCTAATCTAATTTGTTTTGTTAAAATTCTTTAAAATATAAGGTGGACGTTTCGAAATTCGGCTCAGTGTAGTGACTATTGTAAGATAATAAAAATTATTCAGTCGATAGATATATGGTTAATACAAATAAATACCCTGTTCTTCATCCTGACATTACATTAATTTATATAAAAAGGTTTTGGACTAAACGTATTATCTAAATTGATTTTAAGACAGTGTAAGATGTTATTGGCTCTAAGGCAATACACTGTAGTTCACAATATTGCAAGATATAGCGGCAATGCCAAAAGATTAAATTATGGTTTCGTTCTCATTTGCCAAGTTGACAGTCCGAAGCTGATTGTTAAGCGACAGCAACAACTTTACTGTCCTTAAGATGGCTTTGTTTTATAAATCTTGTAAAATTCCGGATTGGTCATCTATAGCGACGAATGCGCGAATGTGCTGAATTGACTTATTATTTTACCCGCGGCAATATAATATTTTATCAACAACTGGCAGCTGAACGTAGCTAGGTGAAGGTACATAGGTACATGGGCACATGGCTCTGAGGAAGTAAGGAAGTCTGAATCTGTTTGAAATAACGACCTTTCTGATGTATGTACTCTGTCGACAGTCCATCTCGTCCACATTCCAAATACTTCTGAACCTGATACCCCCACTGTCTAAAACTATGAGCAGTTTATCAAGAGCACTGTCATATTTCATCTGTAAATGCGCTTTATCATTGACACACTTGTTTCTTCCTTCTGGAAAGCGTATCATTGTATTAGATCTGAATTTGAATCAACTATCACAGTTTTGCACAACGGTCACATGTGTACGTGGGCATTTTCGATCTGGTTAGATATATTATCAAGGAACAAGAAAAACAGTGGGAGCAAAACGCCACTGTCGCCCTGTTTTGCTCCGTTACGACACATGACATTTGACATTGAGTCTAGTGAAGAGGTGGCAATACTATGTATAAAATATTTTCGGGTATCATTAATAAACGTTTATACGATTGGGCTGAAGAAAATAATAAGATTGATGGATCCCAGGCAGGCTTTCGGAAGGGTTATTCAGCTGTTGATAACATTTTCTGTTTACAATCAATGGTTCAGAAGTATCTATCTAAAAATGTGGTCGTTTTTATTGTATCTACGTCGATTTCCGCAAAGCTTTTGATAAATTTAACCATAATAAACTATTTGTTTTTTTTAGAGAAGAAGGGAATCCACGGTCAATTTATGAATATTCTCAAGTCTCTTTATACGGATTTAAAATCATGTGTCAAACTCAATAACAATGTCACTGATTTCTTCTCATGCAATATCGCACCCGCCAAGGGGACAAAGCAAGTTCGACAATTTTTGATCTCTTTATAGATGAGTTGTCTGTCCTTTTACGTGAAAATTGTGATAGTGGCATTTTTATCACAAATGATATTCCAGATATTTTTTGTTTGATGTTTGCAGATGATGTAGCAGGGTGTGCCGAAAATGTATTTAAGCTTCAACAGCAAATAAATATTATTGACAACTTTTGTTGTGATACTGGGATGGAAATAAATATGGATAAGACTGAAATTACAGTTTTTCGAAATGGAGGTCCTCTTTGTCGATATGAGCACTGGTCGTATCATGGGACACAAATCAATATTACCTCTCAGTATAAGTACATGCCTTTTATAAATTTGTTAAATATGATACTGTTAGACAAATGTATTTATTTAGCTGGTTTATACATGGAACACAGAACTTCAAGATTTCTATGCTCTTTTGTCTTCTCAAAACCCTGACATTGTTAAAAATATATCTATTTACATCTATCAACTTATGAATATAATTAATGATACTTAAATTTCACAATATACAACTACTTGCCATTTTATTATATGTTATACCTTATGACGTATTTTGGGCCGGAGGCCTTTATGTACAAATAAATGATTTGAGTTGAGTTGAATAGCCAATTAGTTGAAATACGACTTCCAGGTTTAATAAATACTAGTAGAGCGGGTGTGGGTATTACCGAACATGCGTGTAGTGCCGAACATAATTTTCTCTTCACCATAATCTTCTTTATATTCTTCTAATAAAGCAGTGACATCATAAACATGATGTCACTTCCTTTCCCGACATATTAGTTGTATTTCCATCGTGATACTTGACAAAGCAAACATTTTCAAGACTAAAATACCACGACGCTTGAAGTATGTACTCCGTTACAAATATTCTAATTTTAGATACCTGACGTCGTAAGGTTATATGGTCACGTGATTTCGATAAATCACATGTGTCTTGTAATTTGTGAAACTAATGTTACAGTGTGTAATTTATATAGATGAGTCTGACCTTAATTTAGTGGTTTCATCCCTTTAAATCATTAAAATTTCATGACAACTAAATCTAATAAACACTAAACTTTGTGTGAGAGTGTATTACCAAACACAGTGCTTACAATGATTAAAACAACACAGGTAACATTATTATAGCGTTATAAATTTATCTAAATACAGTCATAGTAGTAAAATAAATTATTTTATACATCTATATTAAGAAACAAATAAATAAATAAATAAATAAATAAGTGAAATAATCAATCAATTATGAATCAATTGATTAAAATTAATTAATTAATTAATTAATTAATTAATTAATTAATTAAATTATTAATTATTTGATTACTTCGTTTTCATTCAATCAATCATTTAACAAATATATAGAAAGATAAATAAATGAATAAGTAAATATAGATAAATAAATAAATAGCTCTGGTAAAAAAATGACCAGACAGACATAGAAAATTTCTTTTAATTTTCTATCTATGAATGAGCAGGCAGATAGACTCAAAACGGCAGCGTTTTTCAGCAAAATTAAATAATTGACCATGTAGCTGAATTAATTTGTTTAAACTTTGTTAATTGAAACCAAGCATAAAAAGTATGGGTTTCCAAAGTCCCTCACAATACTGTCCCTATAATACACTGGTCATAAGTTGGACAGTTCTAACTGAGTCTGAGGAAAGTCGTATTGTCGAATGAATTGAAATGCACATATCACATATCGGCTATAGATGCACAAGACAAGAGCTTGCACACACTTGAACTTGAAATTACTTGATGGTGAAGGTTGCTGAACAGTGTTTCGTGAAAATGAACCCGGTAGATCTTGGCTGGAGGGTGACTTTCGCCGCAACCCTGAACTGACCCTTCGAACAACCATTCAGCTTGGTAGAGTACCTGAGTATCTCACAAGTACTGCTTTTGAGTACAATTATTGTAAAGATCACATGGTCAGCTGTTATTGAATAAATTTGTCTTTAAATTATTTAATATTTACACATTTGAACACGTAATCTATGTCTCTGGTAATACATTGTTCAACAGTGAATACTTGTGAAATATATAATGCCATTGCTTGCAACAATAATGAAATATTATTGTTATAAATCTATCTATATTTCAAGTGAAGGTTAACCTTTTTTACAAAAAAAAGTTAGCTGTGTTCGGAAAAACACGCATTTGTGTAATTTTTTACACGCATATGGTCGTGTAATACATTAATAAAAATATGACACATTTTTATTGTACTAATAGAAGCAGTCAGGTCTAATATGTAAAATGTCATAGCTCTTTAGATAATGTGCGTAGATATGTGTTGCTTGCATGTAAATGTAAAGGAAAACTCATATTCGTCAAATGCCAATTGAAAATCGTAGGTACAGCGTGTATTTCCAAATACTACATGTACTTATTTCACCTTAAGTGTTTGGTAATACCCACACCCGCTCTATTATGATAAATCTTTCTTTAAATGTCATAGAGCTGTGTTAGTGCTCTCATTTATGTTGCCCGACGACATTCATAAAACTTATATCTAAACAGTATCTTAAATTAAGAACACTTGTTACCCCACCCCCATCACCACCACCCTATCTCCCAAAACACGGACATGCATGCACGTGCACATAAAACAAAACACCCCCCCCCCAAAAAAAAAAAAAAAAAAAAAAAACCAACAACAAAAAACCCCCCAAAAAACAAAACAAATCGACAAACAAATTAATCTTTTAAAATTGTTGATGATTTTAACAGGCATATTATCTATTATTATTAGATCTAAATTCAAAAACGCACAGAAGAAAACATATCGTAAAATAATCTATGATTTAGACACGCAAATTTTCAAAATTGTTGCACGTGAAGAACAGTAATATCTTACCTGTATGGCAAACGCAATAAATTAGATTACATAACACGTGATTATGATTCCTTGCTACAATGCTATGTATTAAATTTAAAAATGAATGTTCTTGACACGCATTCCTGAAGAAGTTAACACATCTACGAGTCATAAAAGGCGTATTCGTTTGAACTAATACGCACCGTGTAGTTTTCTCTACTAGCTACTTTACTTTGAGTTAAAATTTATTTTCGTACCAACCTTTACATACAAATCGAGTGGACCCACTCGATACCGAAAGTTGTATAAGCAGTGATTTTCATTGAAATTGTGAACATTGTACAATTCTACGTCCTCGCGAGTGGATTGACAGAAAAAGAAGATTGATTGTTATCAACTGTTGTCTAAATAAAGGTAATGTTTAATTACATAGCAGAATCGCTTTAAAATATATGTTACTTATTTTTTTAATACATTTGTGTATCAATTATTACTAAAATAGTCAGGGGACTACCTCGGCTTAGTTTGAGTGTACGCCGAGTGCTGGTTTTTGGCCAAAGGATCGCCAGAGACTTATATATCAAATATAGCTATGATTTAGGGGATATTTAAGCTAATTGTACTACTATTGTCTTTATCTATAGTAATGAAAATAACATCAAGTACATATATTGAATGTAAGAGAAATAGCACGAAGTCTAACGTGTACACTGTTTTAAATAGTTCAAAAGTTATTTGCTTTTAGAAAAACAAAACATAGCCAGGTGTCTCTCTTGTAAAAAAGATGGGTTTTATTTCCTTTTGTAACAAGTTTAGTTTTTTCTTTGTTATTTTTCTTTTGTTTCACCATAACTTAACGTGAGATATAATCAAGGAAAATATGCTTTAAAATGATCTGTATGACTTTAATACAAACACAACAGCTTAAATGTTTAGTGTAACGAAAAGTTATCGTATTCACAGCTAAAATGTAGTATCGCACGATCATTTAGCTTCCTTAAAATATTTTTAATGCGTATTATGTCAATGTTGTAGACAATAAATATTGTCTTTAACATTTTTGTTCTCAACTCTAGTCTTTCAATTTCCATTCGAAATATTTAAGTTATTTCATTACGAAGTTAAATGCCTCACGCACAAAGAATTTAGACATAATGTGTCTTATATGGTTACATTGTTCTCGTTGTTAAATATGTATAGATGAGACTACGTATAATAAAAATTGCGGAAGCCCTGGAAGGACATTTGAAATTAATATTTAAAACTTAAAACTTATTATTAAATTCTGAACATTGACAATTTAATTCTTAATATTTAAAAATTAATTCTTAATACTTAAAGGAGGACCAGAAATAAAATATTGTTTAATGTACTAGTTCTATCTACGGTACTACGGAAGCCCTGGAGGGACATTTATTATTTAAAAATTATTACTTATTACCTATTATCTATAATTTATTATTATAATAAGTGATAAATAATAAGTTATAAATAATAAGAAATATATTATAATTGATAATTATGTTCAACATATTAATTAATAAATAATAAATAATAAGTAATAAATAATAATTTTTCTTCCATCGCTTCCGTAATATATGACCTTAAATAAATGATGTTCTTACGGTTCTCCTTCATCTTTTCCGGTAACTGTCTTGGTGTAAACAGAGATTTATTTTCCGGTAATTGTCTTGGTGTAAACAGAGATTTTTCCTGCCAAACATGGCGCAGTTCAATACTAAATATAAGTAATAATCTGTAAATAATAAGTGATAAGTTATAAAGAATAGGTAATAAGTAATAATTTTTAAATAATAAATGTCCCTCCAGGGCTTCCGTATCTATCAGGTTCTTCTGATTATGGTGTTAATGTTAATATGTAGGATATTGAAATTTGCCAAGAACTATACGCAATACCTAAGCAAAAATGTATCGATGCTTTCCAGGAGTTGGCTTACATTCTAAAGACAGGCCTACAGATGCCTAGTAATGCTATTAAAACATTTGAGTTGTATAAAGCATTACTGGATGCATATGAAGAACTAAATGTTGATGTTTCATACCCAACATTGTTTCAGTAACTAAAATTAGTTTAGACATTTCATCTTAATTAATTGACAAGTATTGTTTAATTTGATAATAATATATATGTCAGGTGAGTTGGAAGCTACTTGTCCTATTAAATCATTCCTTCCGCCTCTTTTAACCAAAAACAATTATTTGGTTGCTGTGATAACATCAGTGATAGTATAGTGTTCCAAACATCAGTCTTTTGATGCCTACCTCGCATTTTAAAATGTAGCTCATGTTTTTATTATATCCATATAACAACAGGTTTTCGTTTTCGTATCACGCCTGGTTTTCGTAAACAAGTGTCACATATACGTTTACGATATTAATGAATATGAAACAAATCCAGATGATTGAACATATAAGAAGACAATTATAAATATATATTTTTTAATGAATAAACATGGATGTTCATGGTTTTCCGAAGTATGTGTTTTTTATGTTTATCTGCTAGTTAAAATTTCTAGACCGACCTCGAGTTCGTGTGTTACTTATTGTTGGAACAGGTCATAAAGCAAACGAAAAAAAAAAACAACTTAAACACGAGACCTCTCTTGAAACATTCTGATTCTACATTGATGATTGCATGACAAATCTGAATTAGCGTAATCTAAGTAAACCGTATGTAGGGAATTAGAAGATAAACCTTATGAGCTCTTTGTAGGCAGTACTAAAAATTTGCCAAATGTTCTCCAGCAGGGGCAAATTTTAGAACTTTTAACCCCAAAAGAACAAGTTTCAACTTTGACCTACATATATGACCTATGATAAAGTTACAAGTTGTTCCAGCTAAAAAAAGACCTGCAATGTTTTTCTTTGATTTGACCTATTTTTTACCCTATATGACCCAGATTCAAACTCGACTGAAGACTATCCAGACAAATATTCTCACAAACTTTTAAGTTGTTCAAGATAGAATACAGCATCTAAAGTGTTCTTTATGTTTTTCTTTGATTTGAACTAGTGACCTAGTTTATGACCCCAGATAACCCAAATTGACATAGAAAATCAATAAGATAAACATTCTAAACAATTTTAATGAAAATGGGATACAAAATGTGACCTGTATTGTGTTGACAAGGAAATTGTTGAGAAACACACCGACAGACGACAAACAGCGGGAAATGGCAGTAGCTCACCTTTGAGCTGATCTAAAAAGGAATAAAATTAAATAATATTTTCTCTTAATTGAATTATACACAGAGCTCTTTTCATTTTTGAACAGTTTTCAATGCAAAAAGTTATACATATAAAATGTTGTTTTAAAATAAACTGGCAAACAAACTTTTGTAAACTACTGTTTGATCTACTAAGTCTGTGACAAGCTTTTAAACCATCTATATTTTGTTTATTTTGCGTTTATTGTAAAAAAAAATCTAACTCTTGTGAACTAAAATGGCTGAAATTAACAGTGACTAGCTAGCAAACCCAGTGAAACAACTTTTACTCTTTAATTACAGTGACTAATCAAAGTACAAAATCAAAGGTATCTACACTCATCAATGAATAATCGTAATCGCTTCAGGTTCAACTTCCAATTGATAACAATCTGGGGTAGCTACCTACAGCATACAACATAAAAATAAAAGGGTATTCATAACACGATTTATGTTTTCAGGTAAAGTTAAAAACATAGCAAGTTTTGCCATGTGGGTGAGAACTGAATGCTCAACTAGGCAAACTCAACAAAATGATTATTTTCAAATAATTAGAACACGAACTGTCACTAAAAATAAACGTATGCCACAAATGTGCTTTGAGCATTTGGCAGGTACAAAAAACTAACCTTTTACATTGATAAAAGTGTTTAAGAACCAAACATTATTATAATAACCAAAATCACATCTTAATATATAATTGTCAATTAATTTGTATGTTTATGATTATCACAGGGCTACATGATATGTCAGTTGCATACAATTTCACATAAAAACAGAAAAACGATTGTTACCACTACAAAATAAATTTCCGTTTACCAACCATTTTTAAATGAATGTAATTATTATTATGAACAATTATGATTTACCAAGGACCAAACAATTGCTATTTTGAACTAAAAATTCAAATACTTGATTTGGCCCAGTCAATACAAAATGTTGCTGCGATGAAGCTTCTAGGCAATTATAAAGGTTTCCATATTTTTATAGGAAGACTGTGTTCTGTACTTTTATTCTAGAAACCACATAGCCATCTTCAAACGGATCATATTCCATAGAATTCTATGGAAGTCCTGGAGGGACATTTTTAAATTAATATTTAAAACATATTATTTAAAATCTAATTCTTAATATTTAAAATTTAATTTTAATATTTAATACTTAAATCTTATCATTAAAAATGGACGCGGAAACCATTTATATTTGTAAATAGTGTACTGATATATTTTATAAATACTGGTATTCTTTTTTACGGTCAATAAAGCAAAAGTTGAATTTGGTTTGTGACGATGGGTGTTGGCAATAGTTCACTTCAAAGATCTGATTCATAGTGTCAAAACTATTCTACATAATTTGAAATGAATATAAGTTGAATGAATATTACTAACTTAAAAATAATATACTGATTTATAGTTAATAGGTAAAATATAAAAAGACATTCCATACAGCTAACTCACTCCATTCCATTGTGCTGCAAACGCCAAGTTGCAAACAATGAAATAAATGTTTACTTTTCACTGATTTGATTCTTCTGAAAAAAGAAAATGATTGTAATATACTGGACAACTTCTTATCCTTTTTGGATTTTGACGAGGTTTATTAGCATTATAATGCTTAACTTAAGCTGAAAAAAAAGAGAAAATTCCAAAGAAATTGTTTATATCATATTTTTACTACCTTTCTTCATAATTGAAGTTTTGATTATGCAAAAAAGGTAACGCATATTCGAAAAAGGTAACATCCTAAGCATACCTAAGAATCAATTAGTAGCTACGAATATGTTGATGATCTACGCCCAAATTAATGATTTCATTTTTGAATTTTATTTTTTTTTCGAAACCTTTCTTTTTATACGCCCGTGTGTATTGGCGTATCGGTAGGTACGCCACTGATAGAGCCGTATAAAAGTAGTTCTTTTATTAATAAAGTAGTTCTTTTTCAAATAAAGCGAGCATGTACAATTACTTTATGCAAAGATAACTAAAAATAAAAGGAATGCACAATAGCTTTTTTAACGGTAATATCGATTTTCAAATCAAAGAAGAGACTGAAGTGCTATTGATTCATTGTGATTTAAAATTCAACCGAATTGTTACTTATGTTTCACCCAGCAAATTATGTAACGTAAATATGCCTTTTTTGAATGCACGGTTTGAGTTCAAATGCGTAGTAATATAAACACGAAAGCCGATAGGCCTGAGTGATTAATTACAAAGCATTTGAACGAAAAAAACGTACATTATTTTACTACATGTATATTATTCCTCATTTGCATACGCCTTTCTATATTTGATATGACGTCATCCGGTCCATAAACCGCATACAGACCGGGGGCGGTCCATAATTCTTATATGGACTGGATGACGTCATATCAAATATAGAAAGGCGTATGCTAATGAGGTATAATATTTTATTTTGTTGTTAAATGACTCTTTTTACTGAATTTATTGTTTTGTTTCACATAAACTTATTACATGTTGATCAAAAGTTATGATTTGTCTTTAAATTGAAAATGATAATAATACAAAATCCGACTAGGGTTTGAGATATTTCACACACTGAACAAATAAATTATTATTTGAAAGCAAATTATAGTAAAATGACAGCAACAAAATGTATGAAAGGGTGAAAGGATTTAGATTCGGTATAATATAACAAAGTCGACAATTGTCGTTACTTTCCATCATTATCAATTAAGCGTCTATGTGATAAGAAGCCTGTGATCAATCAACACGTTGGTGACGACGTTACAACTATACGAGATATTAAAGATTCGGTATAATATAACAAATAAAACATGGCCTTTCGGGCAAAATGCAAGTTTACGGACTGGTTGGTCAGACCTCGGAAGGAATATGTCCCTCAGCTGCGCTTCGGGCCATATACCTTCCTCAGTCTGACCAAGCAGTCCGTAAACTTGCATATTGCCCTCAAGGCCATGTTTTATTTGTTAAATAATGGTTTAATAATGTAAAGTCTTTAAATGACGTTTAAAACATTGTCATTTATACATCTAAAGCTACGGTCTCACTTCATCCCGGCATAGCCCCGGTAGACGTCCGGGGTGATCCGGGAACGACCGGGGTACGACCGGAAACAACCGGGGTGGTCCGGGAAGTATAGCTTTGCCGGCTTCATCCTTAGCTCTGCCGGGAACGACCGGGGTTACACCGGGGAAGCACCGTAGCTCTTCCGGCACAAACCGGGGATGATCCGGGGTATGATATAGCCAGTAGAGCTACGGTAGAGCCCCGGTGAATGCTGGCAGAGCCCCGGTGAATGCCGGCAGAGCCCCGGAGGATGCCGGCAGAGCTCCGGAGGATGACGATTGAGCTACGGTTGATCCCGGTAGAGCCCCGGCAAAGCACGTTCATTTCATAAGAATCACGACAATTTTCGATGATTGAACTTGTTTGTGTTAAAACCCTTCCCATTTCCCTTCTATTCAGTCTTGCATAAGGATTTTTCAGAAAATCATCATGATATACTATTCTGGAACAATAGATATATTAAATAAAAAATATGTATCAATGTAATCATTTTCGCGCGTTTACAATCCACCGGGGTTCTACAGGGGCTCTGCCTGGATCGTCCTGGGCTCTGCCTGGATCGAACGGGGCTCTGCCTGGGTCAACCGGGGCTCTTCCGGCGTCATCCGGGAACGACCGGTATAGCACCGGCATGAACGTTAGCTTCACATGGGCTCTGCCTGGATGATCCGGAGCGCATCCTTGGTGGTTAGTTGGGAATAACCGTAGTGCTACCGGGGTTAGTGTGACCGCAACAATAATTTCACCCCGGATCGTCCCGGATCATCCCGTTAACTTACCGGAATGGTCCTGGGCTCTGCCGGGAGTAAGTGAGACCGCAGCTTAATATCTTTAGAAAATAAAAGCGGATGTGACTTTGGCTTGAGTACGATTATGTTATTAACCAATTTCAATATATCTTTTAGTTTAGACTGTACATACTTTTAATTAGATTAAAACTTGAATTTTTTGCAAATAATTTCTTTTCAGTACTAATGCAATGTGAAAGCAAATATAAAAAAATGTACTTTAACTAGAATATTATCGCGGCTTCTTACCATGCACAACATGTGTTCGCGCTGTAGCTCCTATAGAACTGTTTGCAAATGTATAATTTCATGATGACACGTATGATCTTTGGTTTCCAGCAGGTAACCATGGTCAGGGGAAACAGATCATTTGGAGAGTGTACAGAGTGTACACAAAGACGGCTGTTTACTGTATTTAACACCAATACTTTTTAGTATTAACACAGATATTTTATTTGTTTCAGAGATTTACCATGGGGAACGTAACATCGGATGCACCAAGAGATCAAAGGAAGGAACCGAGCGAAGAAGCAAACTGTTTGGCAGATTTACCGGTTGGCAAAATTTAAATATACACTCGTGATAGAAATATGTTGTTTACTTTACCTTAATAAGTATAATTTTATATACATAGTTACGTAGAAGCATTTTATATACTTTACCTTAAAAGTATATATACATACGTACACGACTACCAAATTTATTTCAGCCCTCTAATAAGATGCATAAAATTTAGTTCAGTATTAGTGACACTTTGATATATAATTCATTTAATATTTTCCTGTAACTTAATTATTATAATAATTGTGATGTAACAATTGTCTCAAGATTTAATATGTACACACATTGAAAAGATCATAAAGAATTGTTCAAAGGTAAGCTCTTCCCTGACTTATAACCGACACTCTTGACCTGTAAATGCAGACACTCTTCCGACAGAAACGTTCTGACGATGGCCGTTTGGCATCAAATAAATATTAGTATGATAATAAGAAGAAACCCCTAATATGTTGTAGTAGAGTTGTATTTTTGATATTTAGTTATGTGTATGTATATGTTTTAACCATGTGTTCTTTCCTAAAACAATAAGTTGTTTTAATTTTCCGACTTGACTGTTCTCTATCCAAAAGCATTTGAAATGAAACAACTACTGCTTCATAAAAGTCCAATGTGGCAAGGAGGTTAGAAAATATTGACCATTCATTTGTAGGATAAGACACATAGTGAAATCATTGGTCGATGTATATTTTGTAATTAACCCACGGAATTTTAGCGGGTTTAGCTTTTATTTGAAGTTGAAATCGGACGTATATCAACCATATAAAACTCAATGCTACAAACTTGTTACAAACTAAGGTTGTATGTAAAACATATTTATAATTTTATGGTGCCTTATAAGAATAGAATTTTAAACATACACATAAACTGTGTATGTAAAATCATATGTCGTATCAAATCAGAACATACCGTTTCGCTTGATCAATGAAGTATTAATTATTTGTTAGTGCTTATCTAATGAGAAGTCAGTTATTCTAGTGTTTAGTAACATATCGTAACACTTCAATGATGCCTAAATTAAAAAAAAAATTCGTAAACGTTTACATTCATTCTTTGTATCTTTTTCCTCCACACAAATACAGAATGCATGGAAAAACAATGCTAACATTTTTTCACAACTACACGTAGATCTAGTTATTTCATTTATTTTGATAATCATTTAATAAATAAAAATGCACGGCGTAGCGAAGCGACATTAATGAAATAATGAATGCCAACTTGTGGAATACAATAACTTTTTATTTCATTTTACTACACAGAGAACCTTCAGCGATCTTTACAATAATGTGATGAGTCTTGTAGAAGCAACAGTTGCACAGCAGGAATATGTGGAGCAGCTATATAAGATAGCAATAAGTAAAATAAGATCCTTTTTTCTGTATCTACAATTAATAAATGAATTTTCACATTTAATTGAGATTAAGGTGTAAAGTCATTAAATTAATCAAGATTTTAAATCAGTAAAGGTTTCTAAAGTTTCTTATAATCTGTAAAGTGAAGTAATTTTGTTTACGTTTTACATAAGCATCCCTATTTCTGACCATAAATTTAAGTTTATGATAAGAAAATTGGCATATAAAGTAAAGCTAATGGGCAACGTATTTTGAGCTTTTTTGACAATCGAAATCCCTTGGACATAAGTTTTTGTTATTTATATATCAAGGGTAGATTAATTTTCTGTAACAAAAGATAATAGACATTAATTATTGTATTTAGATGAAGCAATGGATGATGCTACAAAGTTTGATGTATTAACAAAGGGGCGGTCCATCTTAGAAAATCTACAAGTATGTATATGTATTCTTTGTATATTAAATAATGACAATATGTTAAGCACATTTGTAAATTCAATTTAAGTTTTGTAGGTGTGGTGTACTAGTTCTGTCACGGACTCTGTATTCTTTTATGTGAGAAAGCTATCCAGTATTGCTTACGAAACGTCAGTAGTTCTACTCGGGTGTCCGTTCATGTCTGTGATAATGCACGGAGGTCTTCCTCAACAAGTACAGCTGGAAAGCACCCAGTCCCCCGAAACAAAAAAAGAAAAGCACAACATGCTTAAATGTAGATCGTACGATTTCCATTTTATAGCATAACTAACTAGTTTTCAATGTATTTCAAATATTTCGCAGTTGTTGCATCATACTAGTACATAAGTAGTAGAAAAGCAACGTATTTGTCTGCATTTGAGTTTTAAAGAAATATCTGAATAAATACCACCATGTCAACAGAATTAACAAATAACAGTGCAGTGTCACCCTTAGAGTATTTTGACTGTTTGATAAATTTATAATTTATGCGTCTTTCTTATGCCAACCATTTACGAATAAAAAAGTTAATATGTAAACTATTCATTATATTTAATTCTTATTAACAATAAAGAATTCTTATTTACAACAAAGCAAATAAAACGCCCATTTTCTTTTTATTTAATCGTGATGCAAATGACTTTTCAAGCTCGACATTTATCACATTGATTTAATATTATTTTTATAAAAAAAATCAGAAACTAAGACAACTAATTCAATTATACAGGCTTCACGCTTCATACATACAACACCAGTGCAGGACTCCGTATCGAATCTTTATCATAACATTCAAGCGATTCTCCGCTCACATCAATTGAAACAATTTGAAATAGATTCTCCATTTTTACAAGAAACGAGCAAAAAAGATTGGAATAGACATCAAGTAATGCCGCAACATCAAACAATTGACAGTAGATTAGTAGATGTAGTAGCGAATGAAGTGCACAAAAAAGAAATGGAAAAACTAAGCAAAAATCTATCCAGAAGTCAGGAACAAATACAGGAACTGAAAAATGCAAATTTAAAAGTTTGTGCCGAAAACACAGAGGTGCGAAAAGAACTCAAACAAACATTATCGTACAATAAACATTTACAGTACGAAAATGAGAAATTATCTGGTGAAATAGAAAAACTCAAGCCGCCAACAATATCAGGTATATAAACACAAATGCTAAAACATATATGCTATTCAGAATAATATAATTAATTTATGTTCTCGCCCCTGAAACGGGATGGGGTGTACATTTACCCGTCCCCTCCCACTGCTAAACGCTGTCCATACGTAAACCGGTTTGTGTCTCGTGTAAATCCAAAAACCTACCTGCTAGAATCATTAAACTTTATAGAAATTTGTTGCAGAATGTGACCTTGGGTATTTTGACTCTTTTTATGGGATAAAGATTTGCCCTTGTCCGTCCCGATGTCCTGCTACCACGTTGTCTGTCCGTAGACTAACTATAGGTTGTATCGCTTATTACTTAAAACAGAAAACTGTCTTGGAATCTTCACGAGCATTTGAGCTTACGCCCCATTGTATTTTGACTGAATTTATTGGTAATCGGCAGAAATATGCCCCTGATGAAGAAAAAACTAGCAAACTTGTGTGGATTATACCTGTTGGAGCTATGAAACATTCTAAAAATATTTGTTATCATGTAAATTTACATACTGCAAGTTTATTGGAGATTAGTAAATTTATTGCCTCCGTCTTAACAGTAAGCATATCTTTACCTTTCCCATTTGTATCCCTAAAAATGTAACAATGTTTATTTGCACTAGAAATAATACAGGACTATTTTGAATAATCGATATACTATGCTCATCTTAGAGTAAAATATTTTTATCCCAGAAATAATTGAAATCTATGTAATTCTTTCTGAATATGTCTAATTTTAATAACAGAATGTACAAACTGTGTGTGGAAAGCTGCATATCCTATTACAAGTCAAGTAAAGTTGGTCCTTTCTAAAAAAAAAAACTGCCAGTTTTTTAATGACACTATATATTCTTATTGTGTCTGTCTGTAGTGTGTAGAGTTTGAAACTTAAGATATCTACTTTGTGTGTAGTCAAAACATGTTTATTCTATATATACAGAGACTGTGTAGGCAAATTTTGCAATATTTAAAAAAAATAAAAATTTTAGCATAGTATTCCTTTTGGGTTTTAAGTTTTTACTTAAAACTTTTTTTTCTTGATTCCAAATAACCCCAAAAAGTAATTTTTTATGTTTTATATAGAAAATTGAAAAATCTAAGAAAAAAATTATAGATTTATGTTTCATTTAGGGACCCCTTTCGAGAAAACCCAAAATATTATTGAATTTTTCCCCTTTTTCTTATTAAGGGTTGACCGTTTTGTTTTTGTCACAATTTTCCCGCGTCTGCCTGGGGTCCTTTTTTTGGCTTTTTTCCTACAAATTGATATTCCTACAAAACCTTTCCTGAAGGAAGTTGGGTTGAAATTTTTCCCTTTTTATTTTAGAAAACATTAATTGGTGTCCCTTGTTTATAATTCGTTACCAAAACTTATTTACACTTTTCCCCCTGACAGGCTTTTTTTTCCGGTTTTCAGTGTTTTGTGAATCAGTCATGCATTCATACATTCATAAATTGGATCATCGTGGCCAAATGCTTAATATCCTTAATTTAGACCTACTATAAGTTGATGTCCAGAACAGGAAGCAATCCTTTTCTTAAGTAAAATAAAAGGAATGCATACTTTTGCAATGCCAATGACCGTACTACATTATATGTCTTGAAATTTTAGTTACAATATTTTTAACGTTACAAATTATTGACTGTTTTCTTAAAATACAAACTCTGTAGGTACGGTTCAGCTTTATCATTCACACAGCGGAAATACCATAAAAGATATCGAAGAAGAATTAAAGACAATGCTGAAAAATCATTTGAAAGATGTTAAATTTGTCAAATGCAACAGGATAACAGACATCGATCAGTCACAGATGCTTATTGTCCTCAGTATCATTGCTTCAAGAGTAGGGACAGACGCTGCAAATGCAATTAAAGATGTACCACGTGTGTATATTTTTATCATACAATACAAACTTTTGTATTGATAAAGTTCATAAACTTCATATGCATCACCTAAATCACGTTCTTGTGTTTGTTCAAGCTAAAATTCAAAATAATTCTTTGGAAGCAGCATTAAATTTATAGTATGCAATGTGTTTGTTCTGTAGCAAGAAATTTATCTTTATTATGCATATACATGCGTACTGGTATATCAAAGATTGCACATTACAGTGTATTTAATGCTTGTTTAGTATGTAAATGACCAAACAATGGTCATCTTTTCTTTTCATTGTGTATTGTAATCCGATGTTTTTTCTTTAAAACAAGTTCAAATTGAATAATCTTATTTTAATATTGTATCACATATTACTGTTGTTTTGCAGGACCTGAAAACACGGCACTTTTGCTATTTCATATCAAAGAAATTCATGCACTGACGAAACAAGCAAGTACTGCTGTGCTCACAGATCGATCATTTAAGGACCTTGGTGGGATATTCGATTTGGCCTTTGTAAATGGAAAAGGTTTATACCAGTGTGAAATGAACGAAACTGCAATGAAAAGCGTTTGTGATTTCATTAAGAAAGGCATATCAGGGACAGGTGTATAGATTCACAAAGCAATCTGAAAAACAATATGCAGAACTTCTTTTACCATTATAGACAACACAATATTAAGTCACTTTATCAAGTTTTTTAACAGGAAATATTCTCCTGTAAAAGACAAAGGAAATAACTTATAATAAAATTTTTATTATGGCATACGTTTTACCAACAAATTAGTGTATAAATTTACTTCATGTATAATATATGATATATGTCATTATTATTCATTTTACATAACGAATATTCAAGTATAAAAACCTCATTTAGTTATAAATTATTTTGAAAATTATGAATACGTTAAAATCAAATAATTTGTTACATTGTAGAATGATGTGTATTCTCTGCACTTTTATTTATAGCATGGCTATAGCATTCATTAACAATTACTGATTCTTATAGAATTAGCCGCTTTATATGTGTTTGAAATAAATACTTATCAAAGCAATCGTCAATCAAGATGTTTAAAAGAAGTCAAACTATCAGTTTCCTTGTAAAGAGACATACCCACTATGTAAGTTTTTTTTTCTCAATTGCTTTTGGATGCGAAACTATTTATTTCAAAATTATCTTCCAAATAGCAAGTTGTAGGAAATCGATTTGCATTGAGAACAGTACAGTTGTGCTAAAAGAAACAAAGACAGACAGAAGAGACAGTCTCCCTAGCCATTTCGAATCTAACTTCAACCAAGATATTAATGGATACTTAGTAAGGTAACACTTTTAAGCTGTGTTGTATGAACCTAGGGAACACACAAACAAAGATGATGAAGAATGCTAATCGTGCTAATAGGGAGTAAGACACTTGGAGAGGACTGTACTTAACGAATTGTGAACTCTCATTGAAAAATCTGATCACGGGGATCTTAGGTTGACAGTAAGTGACAGTACATCACAAGTAGGCGTTACCTATGGTAGCATCCATTTAATCTGGAGAAACCAGTTAAAGTCAACAAATGTTCATGCGAGCTGGGTGCGAGTTCTCGAAAAGCGCGGACTTGCAACGTTAGCAATCAAGTCGAAACGTTACGAGTACCGTGCGCCAGTACTATTTCAGTTTCCAATTAACTGGTTTAAATGTAACAGATACATAGAAAAATGCCGTTTTCTATTTAAATATGTATATTTGATCTTATTATCTGTACAAATAAAATTAATGTAACTAAAGTCCATTTATCTTTGATTCAACCTTGTACAACTACTTTATATCAGTTTGAGTGTGATAAAATGTGCAATGTGACTGTAATTAAATTGATAGTGTAATAAGAATATAAATCGTCAGATAAAGTGGTAAGATTTAATTAGCGGACAATGATCTGATATGTCGGGCAAGCCAACATCAGCAATAAGATATGCACAAAGTATCACAAAACTATTACAGAAATGAACCAAAATCAAGCAACAGTTCAGAGACCTAAATCAGAGCCACGTACCAATCCGTTTAAAATGTTGTATACTATGGTGGCAGATTTGTGCCATTCCCTTTTCGTCCTGCGACCCTGCCACGCGAAAAGTCGAGAGTTAAAAACGTGAAGTTAAAATGGCGGAGACGCAGAGCGAAAACACGTTTATTAGCGAGGGTGCGGGGCGAAGTTTAATAAATAAAACTTCGTCCCGCGGGGGCGCGGAGCGAGATTTAAGAAATTAAACGGCTGGGTCGCGGGACGAAAACACGCTAATTAGCGGGGGCGCGGGCGAAGATTAATCATTAAAACTTCGCCGTGCGACCCCGTTAATAAGCGTGTTTTCGTCCCGCGACACGCCAAGGAAAATTCGATAAGTAACAAGTTAAAATGGTAGGGGCGCGGAGCGAAAACACGCTTATAAACTGGGGCGTGTTTTCGCTTTTCGCCTCGTCCTTTTTTTTAAAATCTCGCTCTGCGCCCCTGCTGGGCGAAGTTTTATTTCATAAACCTCTCCCCGCTCCCTCGCTAATTAGCATGTTCTCGCTCCGCGCCCCCGCCATTTAAACATGTTAATTTTCGACTTTTCGCTTGGCTGAGTCGCGGGGCGACATAAATCAGCTACCATAGTATACATTAAATTATTATGAAGTTTCTTTTCATAAATCGAACAAGTTTCGTGTTATTTATATGATTTTCTTTATTTCGTCACATATTTTGGATTTTTACGTAATTTCTTAAAATTGTATATGTAGTAAATAGAATATTATACTTGTGTATACTCGTTGAATAAAACAATATTATGCTCACCAGAGGCTCGCATAATATGATTTTATTCAACTCGTTCAATAAATTTAGTATTAAACATACAATTATTAAAAAAATCGTCTATTTATACTTCTACTATGGTTACCTGCTTATCTTATGAGCCAAATAATGTCACATTATTTTAAATTAGGAGAACGACAAAGCAACATCAAAACAATCAATTACTTATTATTAATAATGAAAAGAAAATTATTTTCAAAAAAATAAAATGTTCCTTTTGACATGTCCTTGAACATTAAGTCCCAGCACAACTCCTTCTATATGTCTCATATGATTTCAACCAAATTTTCTCAGAATAAATGCACTAAAGTTAATGGTTGTCAGTATTCTATACGATGATTTCAGAATAGTGATCATTTATGTTTTTACATAATAATGAAGTATTTATTTAGAGCTTTTCAAAACAAACTTATTTTGATATTTGGTAGAAAAGGAAAAATCACGTAAGTGGAAATGCCTGTTCTAAAAGTTTTGCAATCTTTATTTCTAACACTGAATAAGCAAACATTAAGTGCTATCTTTCACAAATAAATTACAATGATTTAGACAATTTTAAATAAGTAAAACACACATTCAAGTAAACTACCGCATTTTGATCTCTCTCGATTGATCACAATTAATATACATGCACATGTAATTGATCCTTAATCGGCTGAAACAATTGTAATTCACCAGTGTAGAGCAATACTAGCCTGTACATCCATGAAGTCTAATCAGACTCCGTATTATTTGACACCCTAACTTTAAATTTTAACACGATATCCCTAAAATTGACAATTGACACTTCCTCCCAAAGCTGGAAACTGGACAAGTTTATTCGAGAAATTCAGCAACTATGTTAAAAGAAAGGACAAGCAAGGGCAAAACATTTTCATTTTTCAATTTAAAATATTTATGTTTTGAATTTTATTTTGCCTTTAACACAACATTGGTTTATAAAGCAGCTGTAGACGTATACAGTAATTTTGTTTAAAGAAAATTATGACTTAATATTCAGTAGTTAACTATTTACATATCAACATCACAATTCGTGAAATAGCTTATACATCCCATAACTGGAATAAACAGAAAAGACAAAACACCGCTTAATGATTTAATCTGATTATTTGGGAAAATCATTTCGTAATTATATCAATTTCAAAACACAAATACACTTGACAATATCATAATATGTACTACATTTGATATTATGTTTTAAAACCAGTAAAAAAATAAAATCAGCTAATTTGTCGCTTCAAGTATTGACAATTGAACTGATGACTATATATGAATCCGTAAAGAATTTTTCAACAAGTAATTATATCAGAATGAGTAACTTGTACGATACATAAAATGCAAATGCCTTAAATTATTTCTTTGTTGAAGTATCTAAATATTTTTCTCTATTTTTAATTCTTTGGCTTTAATCTTAGATATAAATGAAATAATGCAAAGGGGCGGTTCATCTTAGATAATCTTCAAGTTTGTATATCTGTTCTTTGTATATTTATTAAGTAATGACAATAGGTTAAGCACATTTGTAAATTCAATTTAGGTTTGTAACATTTTCAATTTTGCCGTGTTGGGCTTTCTTTAGGGAGTCTGTATTTATCTATATTATTTGTAGGTAAGGTGTACTAGTTCTGCTACGGACTATGTATTCTTTCATGTTAGCAGGGCTGGGAATCAAAACTGCGTCGTATCCTACAAAATGTAAACAAACGCCGCCATCTTGGAACGAAAAACGTATGTTTTTGTTTATAACTTTTTTTGTTGGAAATTACTGAAAACCAGATATATGTATTAACACGACGCAGTTGAAAATAAAATATGATACGACTCAGTGGTATTTTTGGTTGTATTTTTTGTCTTTTCAACAGGGATAATTTTGGCAATATATTTCTATTTTATGGAATAATCACTTGCCCTAGATAACAAAACCCCAGATCATTTGCGGTGTATAGCAATGTTATGTTGCTTTTGATTATTTAGAATACATTGTGTCATGTTTTATATAACATTTAATTTGAAAGTTTACATTGCGGAAGCTACTTTTCAGTTAAACATGAACATGTAACCTAATTGATCATAATATCTGAAATGATTTCTTATATTTTCCCGTATGTTCAATATTATCCCTAATTTTTTTTTGCAAAAAATGTAGAAATCTATTAACTTGAATTCATTTTGGCTAGCTACGCTCCAAGTTAACTGTGGTTCTGCATGTTCTGGGTATATGACTGCTTTTTGTGTTCAAACTTTCACTCTACACATTAGCTTTACTAGGGGCGAGGACCTCAGGCGCGCATTTGTGCATTATTTTAGGCAAAATGTTGCACCTGCAGAGAACCATCGACATTTTGAAACTAGCTTTATAGGTTTTCCACACGAAAGAATAAAAAGTCCCTGGTGGTTTTCGAATTCATAGCAGTTCAGTTCAAGTGATTTGAATTCAGTAAACATAAACAGTTCGGCCTCGGTCGGACACACCTGTCTAATTTGTTTTTTCAACAAAATTTGTTAAAGTCAGCTGTACAAATAAGCAGTTTTTTTATTAACTTCTGGCGTGAAGTTTTAAGATTATAATTATTTGAATTAATCATAAAGAGAGTAACATTTAAATTTCTTATTTCGATATGACTAGCAGAGAAATTTTCAATGTAAACAGGGGGTAATCCTCTGTGAAGTCATTTTCTGAAAACTTTTGTTTAAGTTTTCAGGCAATTCATTATCAAATAAAAAACAAATAAAAATCACACTTTAGTATGAAGGTATGTTAAGATGCCATGTCTCTAGTCTGTTGAAAATTCGATGCGATAATCTGACCTACATTTTCTGTTCAATATTGTTAAAAAATTTTCAATTATGTTGAAAAATGGTGTCTGCCTAT